TTTGAATTCAATGTCCGGGTCAAAGACGAACATCTTCAAGATCTCGGATGCCGATTGTTCGATGATGCGATTAACTGCCGCTGTTTTATTTTTAGCCAAACGCGCCATTGATCAGCCAAAGTGGATCCAACCTACCTCTGGGCGTTTCTCCAGTCTCGATGCGCCGTGCCATGAACTCAAGGTCGGTCACTCGGCCTCCCAGCACTTCTATGCAGCTATCCAGGGTACCCAAGTCTCCTACCTCTTCCATGTTCTGGCCTGAATTGGCTCCATCCTTCGCCCCATGCTCAAGATGGCTGAGGACAAATTTCCTGCCCACGTCAAGCGAGCAATCGCCTAGGGAAATGGTCCGGAACACTGAGTTTGGCAATGCCTTGCTCAGGGGTTTGGAGAAAGAAACGTCAGTAGTCAAGAATACTACATGAGCGATGTTTCCGGTTGTGAGGCCTGCAGCCCACTCGGTGATCTTGTCGTACACCACACTGCTCTCAGAGGCATTATGCAGAAAGTTGTCGATTACTACGACGGGACGCTTCTCAGGGTGAGCTTCTAGGTACTCTTCGTCTGAGAGGTGTGCCTCCTTGTCATCATTTTTCCTGTTGGACAGGGCAACCTTCTTTAGGGCAGTGGCGGTATTCTGCCAGATCTTGCTGAGCTGCGCATCCAATGTCTCAGAGAAGCCAGCCTTGGTGCCGATCATGCCCTGCGCAGCTAGGTCGATAAAGCTGCTCATGCTGTTCATCCATGAGAACACAGGCCGGTAACCGACCTGGCTAGCAGCACGGGCTATCTTTGCAGTATCGCCTTTGGCGTCTTGGATCTGTTTACAATCGATGACGACCTTGTACTTGTAGTTCTCAAGGGCTCGGTCCAACACAAGCTCTCGCTTTCCCGTGCCCCGAGGGCCGTGGATGACGATGAATGTCTCGGCATTTTCCATCAGCCAGGACTGCAACTGCTTAATGTCTCCCTGGCGATCCTCCCATATCGCAGTGAGACGACGAGGATCTGTCCTTTGGCGCCCGAAGTAGATGATGTTAGCCTTGTTGACCTGATTCCGGATCCATTGAAGGACACTGTTCTCTTCAGTTTGCAAAGTTGCCTTGATCTTCATCTCGATGAAGAAGGTGCGGATTGGGTCGAAGATGGTCACAGTGATGGCCGCAATGAGTGCGGCAATGGCAGGGATCACGATCCTCGGATGGTTCAAAATCCAGTCCTTGATGACGGATAACTTGATCTTCCGCTCGTACTTGATCTTGATTCTCGTTCCGGACTTGCCGCCGCCTTCTTGCTCCGGGATGGTAAACCCGTGCATGCAGTTCTTGGCCATGACTGCGTACTTTTGCCGCGTGAACGACACAAAGGCATACCTCGGTGCGATCTTCGAATCGGTCGGCTGTCTCTCAATGTCCCTTAGTTTTCCATATCTCCTGAAGAAAGAGTACAATGTTTCCGTGGTCAGTTCTGTTGCGGCTCCATCAACGGAGCCTGGCAGGAATTCCACGCGCAGCCGCTGGCTTGGGATGCGATATAGATCCTCGATCCACGGTCTGCCATGCACGTGGGCAACCTTGACCTGCTGAAACGGGTTGAACCAGGGCCGGATAGGATTGTGCTCCAGATGGTCCTGCACCGCGGTTACAATGTCAGTGTCTCGGACACCATCCTTGCGAACATATTTCACAAAAGCACCGCCTTCTCTGAAGCGCGGAATGACTTCCCGGATGTCGACGTTCAGGCTCTGGGGGAAGACACGGCGGATTATATGCAATGGATCCGACGCCGCCAGATGGGGTCTGTTAATTCGTTTCAACGCCTCTTCGTAGGTTTTAGTCCCGCTCAGCGGGCCTTGTAGCAACCATTGTAGCTTCGACGGAAAGATATCTACTCCCAAGATGGATAGTTAGCAAGGCATACAGTATCTGAGACGCGAAACTCATACTGTTCACAAACACAAGACCCTCGTCGTCTTTCACATCAATGTGCCCAGTCTCGATGAAAGAGGCATGTGACGAAGTACGCCGACTGACGATGAACGCCTTTGTCAAGGAAGGAATCGCAGAAGGTCTACTGAAGCGTGCATGGGGTAGAGTTGCGCGTGGCACCACCGCTCGATATGGGATTCGCATCATCTCTGCAGACCTCACAGCATTGTGCAGGAAGCTAGAGGGGTTCCTGAAGAACAAGAGACGCTGTTCCTGGACTCTCCAACTATGACGTCGACTGGATGATCTGGACCAATACATGATGTGACGGGTATTATATCTTTGGTGGTGCGGGGCAGCTCCGCATTACCGTCACGGCGCGTTCGGGTGAAATTTAGGATTCGATCCGCTTTGAATCCATTCAACTTAATTCCGCCATCTCTTCTTGTCCCCATCCAAACATCCCCCGGAGACTCCCATTCTATCCTCCATTGAAACCAGTCACTGCCATGGGTTGGTGGTGGAGCTCCGCCCCTAAAGAGGGCCAGTCTTCCACGCCTTCTGCCTCCAGTTCTCCTGCCTCACAACCCCCTCTAGAGACCACCTCCGCACCTTCACAACCACCGCAACCCCGGACTCTCACCCGCGAGGAGCAGGCCGACGCAGAATGGAAGACGCTGATCGCCAGCCTTGAGAGCGATATCAGTGGTCAAAAGCAGCAGCAGCAGACACCATCCGCTGGTAATTCCACATCATCCGATTCCGCATCATCCCCATCCAACTCCGCCGATCCTCAAGCACCTCCCTCGTCCATTGCCCCCGAATCCCTATACGATGATACCATGTCCTGTCGCTCCGCATTCGACTATGCCTTTTTCTGCCAGTCCTTCGGAGGCCAATTTGTCAACGTCTACCGCTATGGTGAGCTGCGGTCCTGCAGCGAACACTGGGACAACTTCTGGATGTGCATGAAGACCCGCACGTTACCGGATAAGCAGCGCCGGAAGGCAATCCGCGATCACAACCGGAAGAAAGCCATCAAGTACAAGACAGGGCCCAGCAGCGAAGACGTGTGGGACGTGCGGACAGAGCCGGTGCAGAATGCGTTCTCTGGGGATTTCGCGGCCCTGGAACGGGAAATGCAGGCAGAGGAAGAAGAAGCAGCGCGGCAGAAAGCTGCTACGGCCTAAAAAAAGAAGCCAACCAATCATGACCCCATCCATTTTTTCGTCTTTGTGTCAGATCTCTTCACACATACCTAGGGATCTCCCATTTTTTCACATTTGATACCATGTAGATGGATACCTATCCCCCGAACTCGTGGGGCACGTTGTACAATAGCATTAGCAGAAATCAATCACCCATCATCATCTGAGCATCCCAATTGTCTCAGCCACCATCCTCAGGACAAAGGAAATCTCCGTCTCTAACGCACACAATAAAGCGACTTGCTTCCGACGGACAATCCCGATGTGTCTTTATTCCTCTTGACCTATCCTCCTCTGTGCAGCTCCTATATATAGACCTCACATAACAACAGCACCCTTGTCATCATCAGCAACCACCAACAGCCAACCATTGGGCCATTCAAGCACCATGGCTGCGATATGAACTTGTTCAGAAACAATAAACACCTGATAAGATGCGTCCTTTTGGGTCTTTCAAGAAACCTCTTCGCATCAAGCAGAGACTGAAATTACCATTAACCGCCACATATCGCATGCGCACGCTCTTCCATCGCATTTCTGCCATGCTGACTACTACCAATAACTATACAGAAGACTCGAATTCTGAATCTACTACTACTATCAAGGCTAGCAGCCTCACCAGGAACTACCCTAACATGGACGTGAATATGACCACAAATATGGAGAAGACGCTGGATACTATCGAAGGACCTGCCTTCCCAACTCGACGTCGTCAACTTCCTCACAGACCACCAACACCAACACCACCACCAGCATCAATATCAACATCAACTTCAATCCCACCACCAGCCCCAACAACCACCCACCCCCCATTCCCATTCCCATCTCCATCCTCCTTCACCCACCCTCACTCTCACCACCACCACCACCACCACCACCACCAACAACAACAACAACAACAACAACCACAACAACCACAACAACCACAACCACCACCACCACCCTACCACTTCCATCTTCCCAAATCCGTAACCTGGGGCCCCATCACCGAAATCCCCATCTACTCCCCTTCCCCAACCCCATCACCCCAATCCTCCCCCTCCACCTCCTGGATCGACCTCAGCACCACAACAACACCATCATCAGCAACCTCCTCCACCGCAGCCCTAACCTCCTCATCCCCCTTCTCCCCCACCATCCCCAAACCCAGCCCACCACGAAGCCACCCCATCATCCACCGTCCCCTCAAACCCATCCGCAAACCCCCAACCCAACTCGACAACGAAATGTTCTACCGCAACCTCTACCACATGTCCCAGATCAGCACGCTCCGATTAAACATCGTCTACGACGCGCTGAGTTTCCTGGGCGGGGACTTCCTGGACCAGGTCCTTCTCATGGAGGAGGGGTATTTGATACAGGTGGCGGTGATGCATGCGAGACAGGCGCAGCAGAGGGATTTTGCAAGGCTTTCTGTTGCTGCTGGTGGTGCTGGTGGTGCTGGTCCTTTCGGTGGTAATGGTGGGTTCGGGGCGGTGATTCCTCGTCGCCCGAGTCCGGTTAAGGGGGGTCGAGTGGAGAAGAGAAAGATGAGGAAGATGATGAGAAAGAGAAAGACGTCGGATGTTATGGGGGCGGAATTCTGGGAACAGGTAAATGAGAGGGAGGAGGGGTATGAGATTGATGAGGATGAGGATATGGATACTAGGGATTGGGTGTAGATCTGCCCGTTCTATTCTATTCTACTATACTTGTCCTAGACTGGCTTGGCTGGGGTTAAGAGGCTGTGTATATACCACGCAACTGGCATGCGTCAAGTATATGGGAGTCCGGTCATATGCACTTACTCTGCGGAGCCATACATACTACTTTGATAGATGGTATTTCGGGATTTCTACTAGTGCGTTCTTATGAATCGGAAAGGGGAATAGATGGACTGAACCATGGGATTGATATGGTCATGAAGAGAATATGTACATCAAAATGTGTTGGACGGAAATCACAAACGCTCCGACACCTCGCACCTCTTTTGAGAAGGAACAGAACGCTGCAAATCATCCTTCAAAATAGCAAAACCAAATAAAGTATAATTTCATCGGACTGTATCCCTCCCTAAAACTTCCATGAAGACGGACGCAACGTATCGTAGTAAAGATCAAAGTAATTGCCGTGATAAATATGAGCCACCCAACATGGCCTGGCCGAGTCAAAACACTTTTTCTCTTTTCGACATAGAAAATCGTAGATTCGTTGCTATCATGACTGAGGTTTCATGCAGTCAACGCTAGAACCAGTCTAGCGGGTTTAGCGGCAAGGCGCAACCTCTGATGGACTTAAGCAGATACTGTCTGCTGAGCAGCCTGAGGAACGGCATCGATAGCGGGCCGGCGCACAATACCACCAGTGACAGGGAGTTGGGAGCTGATGCCCATCAAGAAGGTGTCTACTTCCCGGGCGCATTGACGACCTTCGTTGATACCCCACACGATGAGAGACTGGCCACGACGGCAGTCACCAGCAGCGTAAACACCCGGGACGCTGGTGGAGTAATGTCCTGGTGGGGTCTTGACGTTCTTGCGGGCATCACGCTCAATTTCCTCGCCCAGGACCCGGTCCTCGGGCCCAAGGAAGCCCATGGAGAGAAGAACAAGGTCCGCGGGGAAGAATTGCTCACTGCCTTCAACGGTCTTCATGTCCCAGCCACCAGAAGCGCTCTTGGTCCACTCAACACGAACCGTGTTGATACCCTTGACACGGCCACTACCGTCGTCAACGAATTCCTTAGACATGACGCAGTATTCACGAGGGTCCTTGCCCATGTGCGTCTTGACCTCGGAGTGACCGTAGTCGACACGGTAGATACGGGGCCACTGAGGCCACGGGTTGTCGCGGGCACGCTCCGGCGGAGGCTGAGGCAGCAACTCGAAGTTGGTGACAGATTTGGCACCGTGACGCACAGATGTACCGATGCAGTCGTTTCCAGTATCACCACCACCAATAACCACGACGTGCTTGTCCTTGGCGGAGATGTACGCCCCGTCGGCAAGGTTGGAGTCCAGCAAAGACTTGGTGTTACGGTGCAGGAATTGCATGGCGAAGTGAACGCCGTCAAGCTCACGTCCAGGGACCTTCAGGTCACGGGCCACCGTGGCACCAGTAGCAATGATAACAGCGTCGTTAGTCTGGCGCAGAGAGTCTAGCGTGATCTCATGCTCTGGGCCGACGGGGGTACCGGCAGCGAACTTGACACCCTCAGCAGCCATCAGGTCAACGCGACGCTGCACGACCTTCTTGTCCAGCTTCATGTTAGGAATTCCATACATTAGAAGACCACCGATACGGTCAGCACGCTCGTAAACAGTGACGGTGTGGCCAGCCCGATTAAGTTGATCGGCAGCAGCGAGACCTGCAGGGCCAGAGCCGATGATCGCAACATTCCTGCCCGTGCGAGTCTTGGGAGGGCGAGGAACCATCCAGCCCATCTCGAAACCACGGTCAATGATGGCACATTCGATAGACTTGATACCCACGGGGTCTTCGTTGATGCCAAGGACACAAGCACCTTCGCAAGGAGCAGGGCAAACGCGACCAGTGAATTCAGGGAAGTTGTTCGTCATGAGTAGCCGGTTGAGAGCATCCTGCCACTGGTTCTGGAACACCAACTCATTCCACTTGGGAATGATGTTGGAGATCGGGCAACCAGTGTCAGACTGGCAGAAAGGCACACCACAGTCCATGCAGCGCGCGGACTGGTACTTGAGTTCATCCTCGCTCAGGCGATTAGAAAGCTCAGCCCAGTCACGCGTACGAGTTGCCGGGTTGCGGTACTTCTCGCTGCGCCGGTTGTATTTCATAAAGCCCCTGGTCTTGTCCAAAATGAGCGCAGACCGCTTTTTCTCAGTCTTAGAGTCGCTGATGCTATCTTCGATATCTAGCATCTCAACCTTCTTGGCATCGTCGGACTGAGCTTTGGGCTTCTCCGCAGGAACTGGAGTGCTAGGAAGCTGAGGCAAAGAGAACTCTGCCTTCTTGGCGGCTTCAGCCTTGGCAGCTTCCTCCTGTAGGATCCGCTTGTAATCCGTAGGCAGCACCTTAACGAAGTGAGGAAGGGCACGAGTAAAGTCCAGCAAGATACGGGCGGCGAGCTCCGATCCGGTGTAGTGATGGTGATCCTCGATCAAGCCACGAACGAAGGCGATCTCGGCGGGATCTTCCAAGCCGGACACCTCAACCATCTCCATGTTGACCTTGGAGTGGAAGTCCTGCTTCATATCCAGGATGTAGGCGATACCTCCAGACATACCAGCAGCAAAGTTACGACCAGTCGAGCCAAGAACAAGGACGCGACCACCAGTCATGTACTCACAGCCGTGGTCACCAACGCCCTCAACGACTGCGGTAGCACCGGAGTTACGGACAGCGAAACGCTCAGCAGCCATACCGCGGAAGAAGCAAGTACCGCGAGTGGCACCGTAAAGGCAAGTGTTACCAACAATGACGTTTTCTTCAGCCTTGAATGCAGCACCACGAGGGGGGTAGATGATAAGGCGACCTCCCGAGAGACCCTTACCAACGTAGTCATTGGCATCGCCTTCCAGCTCGAGAGTGATACCAGGAGCAAGATAAGCACCGAATGACTGACCAGCGGAGCCCTTGATGTTGGCGTGGATGGTATCCTGGGGAAGGCCTTCGCCACCATAACGGCGACTGACCTGGTAAGACAAGGTAGCACCCAAGCCACGATCAGTGTTGACAATGTCGCACTCAATTCTGCAAGGGAGACCCTTCTCCAAGGCAAGCTCAGACTCGGCGATCAGCTTGTTATCGAGGCGAGTGTGCAGACGGTGGTCCTGCTTGCGGACGTTGTAGGTAGCGACGCCGGGGCGCAGGGAGTGGGCAGGAGTAAGAATGAGCGACAAGTCAATCTTCTCCTGCTTGGCATTCCGGATATCGTCACGGACCCTGAGAAGCTCGGCACGTCCAACCATCTCATTCACGGTGCGAACGCCCAACTTGGCCATGATAGCACGCATCTCGTTGGCAACATAGTAGAAGAAGTTGATCACGTGTTCGGGCGTACCCTGGAACTTGGCCCGAAGTGCCGGGTCCTGAGTTGCGATACCGACAGGGCAGGTGTTGAGATGACACTAAGCATGAGTTAGCACGATTCCAAGGGGAAATTCCATATTCATCTTACCTTGCGCATCATAATGCAGCCCATGGCGATCAGAGGGGTCGTAGCGAACCCGAACTCTTCGGCTCCGAGCAAGCAAGCGACCGCAAGATCGCGACCAGTACGAAGTTGACCATCAGTTTGCACAACAACACGTCCACGCAGGTCATTGAGAACCAAAGTCTGGTGGGTTTCGGCCAGACCCAACTCCCAAGGAAGACCGGCATACTTGATACCGGTCCAACGAGAGGCACCAGTACCACCATCGTGACCAGAGATCAGGATGTGATCAGCCTTGGCCTTTGCGACACCGGACGCAACGATACCAACACCAACTTCCGACACAAGCTTGACAGAGACACGTGCGCGAGGGTTGGAGCACTTGAGGTCGTATATGAGTTGCTTCAGATCCTCGATAGAGTAAATATCGTGGTGGGGTGGCGGCGAAATAAGACCGACACCGGGAGTAGAGTAACGGGTGTGCGCAATGGGGCCGACAACCTTGTGACCAGGAAGCTCACCACCTTCTCCAGGCTTAGCACCCTGTGCCATCTTGATCTGCAGTTCATCGGCATCGGCAAGGTAGTGAGATGTCACACCAAATCGACCAGAGGCAATCTGCTTGATGGCGGACCGCATCGTATCGCCATTTTCCAACAGCTTGCTTCGCTCGGGATCTTCACCACCTTCACCAGTGTTCGACTTTCCGCCAAGGCGATTCATTGCAATGGCAAGGGTGGAGTGAGACTCCATGGAGATGGAACCGTACGACATGGCGCCCGTAACGAATCGACGAACAATCTCGGTCCAGGGCTCGACCTGATCGATAGGGATCGGTGTGCGTTGCTCGAAATCAAAATCAAGCATACCACGGAGGGTGCAGTTCTTGATCTGCTCGTGCTCAGCCTTGGCATACGCCTCATAGGACTTGTCGTTCTTCGTGCGCACAGCATCCTGCATGTTTGCGATACTGACAGGGTCGTTGATGTGCTCCTCGCCACCGTCACGCCAGTGGTATTCACCCGACTCTGGGAGACCGGGGATATCGACAATCTCGCGAGAGGGGTATCCACGCTCGTGGAAAGCAAACGCGTCTTGGGCAATCAATTCAAAGGTCAGACCACGGATGCGGCTTGCAGTTCCAGCAAAGCAACGGTCAATAACACTGTCATCGATACCGAGGGCTTCGAAGATCTGAGCACCCTTGTATGACTGCAGGGTAGAGATACCCATCTTGCTCATAACCTTAAGGATACCACCATCACAGGAAGCCTTGTAGTTCTCGATGACCTTCTCATCAGGAAGCTGCTTGCGGATCAGCTTCTCCCGGTTCATCTTCAAGATACATTCCATAGCAAGGTAGGGGTTGATGGCGTCAGCTCCGTAACCGACGAGGACACACATGTGGTGCACTTCACGAGCCTCGGCAGTTTCCACAACGATGGCAGCAAGAGATCTCCACTTGTTGCGGACCAGATGGTGATGAACAAGACCGGTTGCTAGAAGGGCAGACACCGGAACTCTGTCCGCACCAGTGGCACGGTCTGAGAGGACGAGGATCTTGTCACCGTTCTGAATAGCCTCGGTGGTGGCATCGCAGATGGCATCGAGGGCCTCCAGGTATCCCGGAACGCCCTTCTCCTTTTCGAAAGTGATATCAATGGTCCTCACAGTCCAGTCCTTGTGGGCCTGGGAAATGTTCTTCAGGGCGTTGAACTCGGGGATACTGAGGATGGGGGAAGGAAGCAACAAACGGTGGCACTGCGACTGTTCCATCTCCAAAAGATTTCCTTGAGGACCAACGTAGCACTCCAGGGACATAACAACAGCCTCTCGGATAGGATCAATAGGAGGGTTGGTGACTTGAGCGAAGAGTTGGCGGAAGTATTCGTAGATAAGACGAGGCTGCTTAGCGATACAAGCCAAGGGGGCGTCGTTACCCATGGATCCCAGAGCTTCCTTGGAGTCTGCGGCCATGGGACCAAGGAGTAGACTGACTTGCTCGAATGAGTAGCCAAAGGCCTTCAGACGAGGGTCGTTCTGAATGGTCGTTTCGTCCAAGGCATGTGTCAAGTCCACGCGTTGTTCGTCCAGGCTCTCTTTGATGGCAGGCAACTTGAGGAGCTCCTTATCCAGCCACGAAGCAAAGTCATGTCTGTGAGATACAGTGTATTTGAGCTCAGAGTCATCGATGATGCGTCCAGCCACGGTGTCGACGAGGAGCATCTTTCCAGGCTGCAGACGACCTTTCTGGACCACGCGCTCGGGGTCAATGTCTACAGCACCAACCTCCGAGGCACAAACGATGCGGTCATCATCTGTCACGTAGAATCTGCAAGGACGCAAACCGTTACGGTCGAGGTTTGCACCGCAGTAGCGACCGTCGGAGAAGGTAAAGAGAGCCGGGCCGTCCCACGGCTCCATCTGGCAAGCCGCCCATTCGTAGAAAGCAGCCTTGGCCGGATCCATAGCCGGGTTATCTTGCCAGGCTTCCGGGATCATAAGCATGACCGCCTCAGGCAATGAAAGCACACCGTTGATCATCAACAATTCAAGAACGTTATCGAACGCTGCCGAGTCGGAACCACCGTCCTCAACAATGGGGTACAGGGAATCCAGCTCCTCACCAAAAATGTCCGACTTCAGCACACCTTCTCTGGCGCGCATCCAGTTCTTGTTGCCACGAAGGGTGTTGATTTCACCGTTGTGGGCGGCCCAGCGCAAGGGCTGTGCACGATCCCAAGAAGGGAATGTGTTGGTAGAGAAACGGGAGTGGACGAGAGCAAAGTGACCTTCGTAGTCAACGTTTACCAGATCATGGTAGTACTGGTATACCTGAACGGGGGCCAGTTGACCCTTGTAGACAATGTTTCTGTTGCTCAGGGAGCACAGATAAAACCAGTTGGCGAGACCGATGACGTGAGTAGCCCGCTTTCGCAGGACATACAATTGACGTTCGAATGTCTTCATGTCAAACAGCTCTGGGTCGGTAAGCTCTGGCTTGTTTCCTTCGCCATAAGCCGACTTCAGAACGACGAAAGGCTGCATGATGGTAGGCTCCCGGGAGAGAGCGGCGGGGCCCAGGATGGTAGAGTCGCGGGGGACCTCACGCCAGCCCAACACCCGTAGTCCCAAGGATGTGGCAGTTTCCTCGAAGCTCTGTACAGACTCCTTTACGGACTCCTCCTCAGGCTTGAAGAACAGGTTGCCGACAGCATACTGACCGAGGGGAGGGAGATCAACTCCGACCTCACGGGCAAAGTTCTTGATAAAGAATTTATGGGGAATACTGGTCATCACACCAGCACCATCACCATCGCGTGCATCCGAGCCAACGGCACCGCGATGGGTCATGTTGCAAAGCAAATTGCGAGCTGCAGAAGTCAGTTAGTATACTCCCAACCCTACTAGGCATATAGGATTGTATATGCTTACCATCACTGACAATCTTGTGGCTAGGCTTGCCCTTGATGTGACTAGATTGCGAGAGAGTTGCTGTTAGCCCGTCGATCCATGAAGCCCAGGGCGCAATCATAAAAGATCACTCCTTGAGGGGGAGATGGTTCCCTGCTGAGCACTTACGCTGCAAAGCCTACACCACAAGCATCCTTCTCGTATTCGGGGTCATAAAGACCTTGCCTCTCGGGCAAGGTGTTTGCCCAGCCATATCCCTTCTTCGGCTGGTACTCCGAATACTCATTCGGAGTCTCCTCGTCCACTATAGGTTTGCCATAAAGTTCCTCCAAGTTCAGACCCATTCTTCCGCCGGTGGCCGACAGAAAATGGAGTAGCGAATCTAGGGGAATTGGTGTGGTTGTTGATGGGGGGACAATGGGATCGCCGCGGAACAAGTCGGGGCGGGGGAGGGGGGGGCAATTCGTTCTGTTATAGATAAGAACGATGTCGTCACAAAGACTGGGGGGGGGAGTGGTGTACAATGACGCGGGCAAGGAAAGGGCAAAATTCAGAAACTTTTAACGGTGATGGCCCAGCGTCTGACTCCTTGTGGGATGGATAATGGGAGAAAGAAAAGAGAGAAGGAGAGAAGGAGAGAAGCGACCAGGGGAGGGGGAGGGAGGGAAGGGAATAATAAAATGGGCAAGACAGCCAGAGAGAGCGGGAGCTCCTACTACGGGGGGGTGCGGTCCGGGGATTCACCTCGAGACTCCTCCGATACTCCGTACCAAACCAGTATGTAAAATTGGGGTTACCCCCCTTCCCTTCTCGGTCTTCTGGGCGGATGAACGCACCTCCAGTAGTAGTACTAGTAGGCTCAGGTCGGGTGAATCCACCGCCAGATCCAATCTACTCTAAAAACACCCAAATGGTACGGAAACCGAAAATTACCGAAGGTGGGGATGATCAAGAGATTCCCGTGGCAAATCGTAGCTTACCTAGCTTCAGGAGCGAAGACGGAGTGCTAAGAAGGAAAGACAGTCGTAGTTAGTAGGTTAAAGCCAGGCAGGTGCAGTCAGACGGTGGTTGTTGACGGGCGCAGGGTAAAAGGAACTAATGCGGGCTGGCAGATGGCAATGAATTCTAGCGCCTATTACGGAGTAGACTACGGAGGGTACTGTAAGGGGGGGTTGTGGAAGGAAAGGCGCATTGAATGACAATCAATCCCATCAATCATTCATCATTCTGTTGCCCTCTCTCTGCTGCATCACTGCCGGCAGTCACCAGAATATCCCGTGTATGATGTAGTTCCATATGCATACACGATGGTGATCTACAAGAGGTAAGTTTGTTATTGCTTCTGTCATCATGGTGCAGAAGGCAAAAAAAAATAAAAATAAAAATAAAATAAGAAGGTGGGTGGTAAGAGTGAGTGGCTTACGTTGACTTTTTGTGGATTAAAATGTTGTCTGGCTTGTGAGTTAGTCTGGCAGCAGGGTTTCTGACTTGTCTCAGAGAAGAAAGCTTTTCCATCCGCTCATTGTATTGAAAGGGGGAGAGGTGGAATGGAGAGAGAGAGAGAGAGATTAGCCATTTTTCCCATTCACCAAGGGAGACTGAACTGACTGTTACAGTACTTCACCTCCAGCCGGGGATTTGTTCTAGAGAAGGAGATAAGACTAGCGTCCACCAATCAGCATGACGGTTTTACAACCTTCCGCAGAAAGATTAGGTTTTGGCTACGTCAAGATCCAGGCCGGTGGGGCCCGGGCCAAAAAGAAGAAAAAGGGAAACAAAAAAGGTTGTCCGCTGACGGCGCTAGTGGGAGTCTACTGGGTACTTTGTTTCGTATCGTCCCGTAATTCTGATTCCCGTCGTTCGTTCAATACGGGCACCGACGAGTGTGTGGTATTCAATCAGATTACGGGACGCAACATTGTAGTAGTAGTCAAAGTAGTAGTAGTATTCGGTCTCCATTGTATTAATGCACTGCCTCCAAGTGGGCATGAAACGTTTTTTCCCCAATCATGCAGAGCTCCATTCTGCCATTCATGTCTGCACCACAACTCTTAATTACAAATTGACCCATCAGGTGAGAGACCTGGCCGGTCTTCTATCAAGTGGGCTGGCTGGCATACCCAGTCAGGTCAGAAGAGGACCCAGAGAGCTGTTGGAGAGGTTGGATCAACCGGAACATGATCGTCCTGGTAGTGATACCTACAACAATCCACAAATGGAAGAAGTAGATGCCCTGGGTGGCCTGTTCCACTTCATGCTCATGGGATCATAAGTCACCTTTTTCTCTGGTCCACTGTACAAAACCTACAATGCGACAACAAACCACTGTAGATACCTGGTGGTCTTATTCCATGAATACTAATTCGTATATGCTCGCATGATTCTTCCTGGTCGTGACGGCGAAGATCTCAACTCAACCCAACTCAACTCTACCTACCACTCGTTTGGAGGGACTTGGTTCATAGTATGAGCTACAGTGTTCCTTGGGTGGTGCAGGCACTGTTAGCCAAAAGAACATTTGCAATATACTAGTAGGAGTGTATACGTATAGTAGGTAGTAGAAAGTACCGAGCAGGAGCCTCATAGACACGCCAAGCGTTTCGTACCTACTAAATTTTTGGAGCACCGCATATACCAGAGAGTCCATCTCAATGCCCGTGTGCAAGCCATGGCTAGGATGGTCAATGGATGGTGAGACCGTCTGGGCTACACGACTCGCAGTTTCTCATCTTCCTCCAACTGTTCGACCAGAGCAGGAGGGAAAGGGCCCAGCTGGATGGAATGATTGGGCGTTGTATAAGTGGGGCAACGCAGGGATACAGTGCTTATCCCCGATTCTGTCCCAATCAGTTGGTCGGCCTGTGCTGAAAGTGCGCTGCTGCACATGGTAAGTTATCCCCAAGTGGCCTGGGAAACCCGGAAAAGAGGACAAATCCGGCGGCACTGCAAAAATTAAAGGTTACTAAAGAAGCAATTCTATTTCTACTCCAAAATTGCTTGGCAGGCACTAGGCGTTACATTAGAACAGTAAGGAGATGAAGTCTCCAAGTCGATTATTTCTATGTATAAGAGAAAATCCCAGATCGTCCTGGGAGATGAACTTTTGTAGTCATAGTAATTGGGATGTAGTCATAGGAATTGAGGAAGTGGGTGGCCCCTACGGTGTGTGTCAGTATACCGTGATTAAGTACACGGCCCGCAAGTGGCCTCTGCCTACATCGTATACCACAGGAATTACGGAGTGGTAAGGTGCACCCATACTAGGTTGGTGACTCGCTTCTCCGACTAGGCTAGGCAATAGATTGCATGGTGCATAAATCTGCCGCCTAAACATCTTTGTGAAGTTGATCAATCGGAAATAGTCAGAAAGAAAGAAAAAGAAAAAAGGGACAGGGCAGAACAACCGGCACACGCGGCCTGCAACTTGCAAGAGGACTGCAACCGAAGGACTTTTGACCCAGACGCTAAGTGGTGCATTGGGCAATAGGTGATCTCGCCCGTGGGCTGCTCTCTAAACCGAGGGAGGGCCCTAATAGAAACACACGCTTCCTTTGCCCATCCTAAACCAGAAGAGAGAGCCTTTGAACTAAAACTCGCATACCCCACGCTGAGGTGCAGGTGGTCGGGCGATCAGTGGTAAGTTGGTAAGTTTGCCCGTTACAAGCGTATACGCTGTTGTAACCGGTATATGTATTTTTGGCCAGGTGGAATGGTGGGTAAGTTACTGGCACGGAGCGGTACCACTCACCTCAGCAATAGAAGCATGGCTGAGTGCTGTTGTCCGCCCACCTTTTTTGATTCCCGTCAGCCCAACCTTTCCGACAACGGCCAAGCTAGGCACCTTTCCCTATCCGTCCCGGAATCCCTCCTCCCTCTCAGTCCCTCCCTCCCTCCCCAAACAATTAACCCAACCCCTCTCCGAGCCACGTTCCCTCTAGTACAGTCTTTTAGGCTGCCTTCTCTTCTCTCCGTTACATTCACCCGTAGCTTACTGCCTAGTAGCTTTCCCGTACCCCTGCCCCGCCGATTTCGGGGCCCGCCACTGCCCCGAGACGCACCTTGCGTTTCCAAGAATGCCAGTGGGTTCGATCCGGTCGAATTTCTCAAGCTCATTTCTTGAGGTCATCCAATCCTCTTATCAGTCACCCTCTTCAAATAGCCACATTCTTACTCGACGCCCATCTGTCCATCTGGCATCTAGACGTCCCATCCGTAGATCTTTGAAACCTTCCATTGACCCAAACCTAGGTCAATTTTCTGGGGAAAACCCACCCTCCCCGTGAAATGATTCCCATGGGCTTGTCCGGGACTCCGGGCAGGACTGAACGGACGGAGTAGGAGTAGGACCGTGGCCATTGATTGGCCCCGACCAATGAGCATGCAGGAAGAACACACACCAACACCCCGGAAATACGAGTGGTACCAAGCCGGTATGGCTCTGATTACACTGGTCAAGTTCAGGTCGGGATCTGCCCATACTAACGTATCCTTTCACCAGCTATCGAACTAGTAACCTTTTCCTATCCCCCCCTCCTTCTTCCCCTTCGGAATAATCACGGGGTGTTTTATGCTGGCTAACTCGGAATCCTGGCCCGATAAGAGCTTATTTATTCGAAAAATAATAGCATGAGTATGATTATGGTAATACATAAATCAATTGTTTTCCAATCTCCCACTCTTACCCTTAACCCCCCCCCCCTCCCTCGTCCGAGTTGCCTGGACGGTGTTGTGTTCACCTTCTACTGGCTGACAGATCAATGGATCCCACCATGCCAGACTGGCAGCCAATTTCATTTCCCCCCTCTATAGATCCTTAATAATCATTGTTGCCGTGCTCCGGCAAACTTGGAGCTAGGAGGTGTCCGACAGTTCGCATGGGTACGAGGGTGGCCCGATTGGATGGCTGGCTTCACGGCTTCAGGCGTGAGCTCCCCGGGACGGATTGTCTTGAGACGAATGACTGAGACGGTTCCTTCCTTTCACCTCTGAACGACTAAAATTCTCGGCCGATCTACGAAGGCCGAAGAAATCCGCCCATCCTCTCTCTCTGGTTCACTTGTCTCTCCAATGGCCAAGCAATAGCACCTACTAGTGGGCGTGTCCTGACGCCTCGCTAATTACTGGTCCTCTTAGACTTACTTGCTTGGGAGGCACGAGAGGGATGGAATGACTCGGAGCTGTGGAATGATCACTAATTGCAAGACTGCGCCTGGTGCATTCATTGATGGGGATCGATCTATCGAGAGATGGAGTATTACGCAACAAAGCTGCCGTGTTACCTCTGTCCAGAGGTGCAACTACTGTTCCGATTCTCCCCTTCGCGTATCCATCGCATCTCAGACCTCGTTTCGGGCCAGCCTTTTGGCAATCCGCAGACTGAAAGCTTTGGAGCGACGGGCATCACATGACCGAGCGGAGATGCCAATGTTTCCGGTGTCCGTTTTCTCCCGATCCTTCCTGTTCAGGCTTGTCCGCTTTGGGCTCACCGAATGTGACCTTGACAACGGAGCGGGAGCCTGCAACCTCTCGGGAGTTCTCGGGCCTGGCAAACGGAAGCGACCGAAAACCGGGCAGGAGGAGGGGGCCCCAGCAGCAGGTCGGTTTTCGTGATTACAGGAACAAACAACACCAGTAGCGTCCGGTAAGGTACCAAACGGTTTTGTTTGGTTTGGTTTGGTAGGTCTTTATGCAGACCGAATTAATTTCAGCGTGACTCTGATTCATCTTTCCGCTGCAGAGGCGCCATAGACCCAGTAAATTGTCTCCATCTGACTGGATGGCATCTGGATCTACCATGTGTAATTTTCCAGGCTATCCTGGCTATTTCTGAGTTGCTACTGCCACAGCCTTCTTTTATTGAAGACGACGCTGCTCTCCTGCAGAAGGACACTGAGGAGGATGTCAGATCAACATCTACAGCTGTGCGAATTGGTGGAGCAGAGTAGTCCGTCCATGGCCTGATTTTCTCACGGCTCGCTGTTGCTGCTTTGCACAGTTCGTACAGCTGGCTAGGCTCATGCTTCAGGTGATCTTTGTGCAGTTATACTCGGCAGCTATGCAGGACTACGGAGAACCCCGGATGCCTCACTGTGGGCTGATGCGGGCCTTGGTGCGGAGCGTGGGTGAGAGATAGATACATACAACCGCTGCTGTGCATGCGTCCTTGTTTCTGGCCTGGCTGGTGCGACGCATTGAAGCAGACACAGGCACCGCATGAGGGTTTCCCTTGCTTACGGCGTGTCCAGAGTCAAGCCTCTGTCTACGTGCTGCAATGCGGCCAGCCAGCAGTAATGTCAATATGCACGGTGCACCAATCATCGATGGAGAATATGGTCTTTACCTGCACGTTTGGGGGACGGATTTTTGTCCGTTGGTAGATAGTCAAGTGGACTTGAGACATGAGCCACTAGTTAGTCGATGAGCCAGACTTCTAGTGTGAATAATACAGTGTTGCTACTTAGCTGAATGGTCTGTCTCACAACACGAGGCCGACGCTAGGATGGAAGTGCAGGGAAGTTTGTCTCTATGAGGGTAAGGTTAATAGTAGTTCGCAAGAATCCTTCCATCTAGTACTGTAGTAAACTGGAGTCCCCGCTTAACACACGATACTAATACCAAAGTACCATGCAGCCCTTTTTTTTTGTTGTCGAATCATGGGCGATTTAGATAATACTACTTCGTACCGTCCAAGGTATGAAGTGTGACACAATCGGGAATTGAGTCTCGGGATATATATTATTAAATTAGTACGGAGTAGATGGGACATGAAGCAAGACAATGCAAGTCCCATCGATTCCAAAACAATCTCCACCAAACTATATACACTCTTCTTGTTAGTGTCTATGAAAGGGTTACACAGATCTCAAATCTTGCTGCGTGACCAGTTCGCCAGTCTAAAAGGAATCGCAAAAGGAAGCGGCGAGACGCATCCTGCCAGATGCGGTAAGTCGGGAGATCCCCGCGCGGGAGCTTGTCTGCTTTTGTTTTGGGTTTCCCTCTCGACCTCTCCGATTTCTCCAATTCCGCCTCTTCCTTTCCAAACAGATTCAAGATACCCCCTTCAGCTAGGTCTCTACTACTGATCTAGCGTCACAAATTCGACTCGATTATATTCCGATAAAATTGCCCAGCTGGTCTTGCGCATGACGACGGAACAACTCTGGCTCAGAACCACCTCACGATAAAAACCAACCGACCTATATAGAGTGCGAATCACTCAAACTTCTTTCCATCTATACATTGCGATTCAATCGAGTTTGAACGAGTACTTCCATATTCCTTGTGTTAGCTCAGGCTAGCACCGCCAACAACAATGCTCTCCCTTCCACTCATTACACCTCGCGATGTACGTGCTATCGGCTTCTGCGAGCTCCTCACACAGACACCCTTGGCCTCCAATTGAAGTGCATCCTTGGCTGATTTATTTCTATGATAGTCTCACGAACTCTGGTTCGGCTCCTCACAACCCTACCGCACCTCCTCCCAGCACCAGCCGTCCGCCGGAGAAACACAACCACATGCCCGTCGCAATGGCTCTACTGCGCTAGGTGGACGTGCCTCAGCCTCTGCGTCAGGAAATATGCTTTTATCCCTTTTGTTGGAAGAGCGGGCTCTACGTGCGCGCAAGAACAATATTGCCTCGTTCGGATACTCGTGGATCAGGCCGGCCGGGTGTCCCAAGACGATGCTGGGTATGAAAGAGGAGGAGGCAGAGCGAGAAGAGGCGCTGGCCGCCGCAGCGGCAGAGAGAGCAGCGGCGGCAGCGGCGGAGGTGGGCGTGGATGGGTTAGACGAGCTCGGGAACCAGACGCAGGGTACTTTTGATGGCGATGGCCAGGATGACACGGGCATGGAGAGAGATCTGGACGATGATATCCCCGACGCGGATGCAGATGGACTGGTTGAGGAAGGCGAGGAAGGGCTGGAAGAGGATGATGTCGTGGATGAGGGAGAGTACATGGAACGTGATCTAGACGATGATATTCCGGAAGCATTCCCGGACGATGATGACCTGGATGAGGAAGACTTGGAGGAAGAAAATGACGACTTTGACAATCAGCCGGACCTGGACAATGATATCCCCAGTGCAGCTGAAGAAGATTACGACGATGAGGGACTGAGCGAAGGCGAGGAAGACATGGGTCGGGACCTGGATGATGACATCCCCGAGGCAGTCGAGGACCGGTCAGAGCAGGAAGAGGAATGGCAACATACCGACACCGACGCCGAATTTGACGATGAGGAGGATGTCAGCTTCTCGCAAGACCCCTTTACGCAGAGCTTCCGTGCCAGTACAACCAGCAGTCGAGGCCTGCCACCGCCGATACGACGGGAGAGGGAAACCGAAGCCCAACGGCGGTTCCTACAGAGGTGGAGTGGTGGCGGAGATGCCTTTGACACTAGCAGCATGCTCGTCGACGATGAAGACCTCCGCGCTTCTTTGACGAGTCAGGGCAGCCGACGGAGTTTCTTTAGTCGATTCCCTAGACGGCGCACGGGAGGGCCCAGAGACAGCCTCGAATGACCGCAAGTTCAATTCTAAATTACATAGGTGTACTATAGTTCCTCGGGATGGGGTTATGGAGTCGTGGGTATATCGCAAAAGGAGGGATGCTTGTGCTTATATAATTGCATGAAACCGAAGACGGCGTCTTGGGCACATACAGAATTTAATAGACTCATTCTATAATCACAACTATTACGTATGGTACAATGTCGTTCAAGGTAGCGGTCAAGAATATCTATCGTATTGCAAGCGAAAAGGTTCATATATCAAATGCATGTAGATAGGCAGGTAGATGACATGATGGGTATGAAATTAGTATACTATACATCTTACATAGCATTGTACAGCAGAAGAGCAGATGCCGTCCTATGTATGGCGAAAAGACCGAGCAAGCAAGCATTCATAACGTAAATCGCAGAAGCCCAAACTCCCGGCATGCACTATCATCGGTAGAGAACAAGGATGCAACCTTTATGAATGCCCAGCCAGGTAGAACTGTCGGTCGTGGGAGAAAGAAAGAAGAATGGGTATGCTCCTATAGGCCGCTTATGTGCAAAGATGCTAATTATGTCGATGTCGAAGAAACGTCCTTGGCCTCAAGCCATGGGTTCTCTGGGCAAGGAGCTGGGCGGATGAAGGTGAAGGGATTGACGCAATTGTGTCCCTGTATATGGATAAATAGCTCAAGGTCATGGCCCTCTGCTATACAGCCATACCAAGAGAAAAACCGTTGCACTGGGCCAATAGAGCTCCCGAGATATCATGCCTGGCTAGATTAACAGCAGCAGCAACATGTCCCGTTCCTCACGTCAGCCAGACGTAGAAAAAGAGCAAGAAGACGGCGAAGAAGAAAGCGAGCCACACTTTCCAGCTAACGCCGGTGCGCTCTGCCATCCGCAGCATACGGTTCATGTTTCCGCGGAGACGAACACGAGTGTTCTCGAAGGTGTTATTGAGGTCCGATATGGTGGAGGTATCCCGAATCTCGTCGCCAATAGCAACCGTGAGCTAGAATTGGGGTATCAGCATGTGTATGTACACTCAGTCTTGATAAGTGGGAGAAGCGACTCACATCTTTCAACATCTTGACCTTGGCGCTGATTCCCTCGACCTCTGCATCATTCTGAGACTCTAGGTGGGATAGTACAGCATCAGAGTAATGACCCCTATAGACCGGAATTGTGAGCTTCTTGCGCGGGAAGGTCCAAATCCAGCTTCTCTCTCCATTGTTGTAAGAACGTACTTGGCGTTTGGGGTCGCAGAACGAAACCCTCCCCTGGAGTTGCCATTCACGGAGCCATCCCCGGCCGGGGGCGTGTATCCTCCATACCCGTAACCACCTACGCTACCCGGGGATTTACTGGCGGGTCGAGAACCGCCACCGTATGAATCGAAAAGGGACGAGGAGGCACGAGGATCGCGCTGGTGTAGGTTAGAGCGTGGGAATCTATATACAAGCTAGTAATCAGTATCGGCTGGGGTATCTGGGAAAGGACAGATGAATAACACCAACATACCGTGAAGCCATAACAGATCGTGAGATTATTAATTGTGAGAGTTAAAGTGGATAGAAATATGATATTTTAAAGGAGGCGATCACAGCCAGCGGGGGCACATGTCGCAAGACGGAGGCCCTAAACAGCAGGGGAAAGATGGGTGAGCGAGCAGGCTCTCGAGGAGAGGAAGAAGTGAGGACAAATCGTGGCGGAGAGCTAATAGCTGGCCATCACCGGAGACCATGGGGTAGCTCACGTGACTCTAGAAAGTACAATCTAGCAAGTGCGAACTCTACATTATGAAGAAATTTGTTTGTACAATGTACATGGGTTCTTTTTTATTATTGAGATATTTGCATATGGATCTCCTCTGCAGACCATGAGGTGAGTTTAGCATGGAGGTGATAGCTCAGTTGAACCCCATTGCGAGGCGATAGTTTGCAGCCGGACCCTGGCCCAAACAAAAAAAGGGTCCAGGGTGTGCCTATCGGGAAAAACATTGGATAGGAAAAAACGCATAGGCAACCATAATGATCTGTATCCATCCCAAAACCTGGAAAAGAAAAACATCATAATATGATTAAGAGATGAAAGTGTAACCGGCATAAAGGAACCGAAGAAACCCTCAAAACAGACCCTGCGCCTGTCCATCCCAATTCCCATTGCGCTCGCCGCCCCTAAGTGTGTGTTGGTATCGTGGTAGCTTGATCCAAAAATTTAATCCTGCATCTTGTTGTCCTCGTCGTCATCACCAGCGCCAACGTAGTCGTCGTCCTCATCGTCATCCTCGTCCATGCCATCATCCTTCAGACTCTCAGCGGCGGCTTGGAAGTCAATGTTCTTGCCGCGTGTACGGCGGCCACCGGAGATGATGTTCTCCGAGGAGATGGGCTCCAGGTTGTCGTTGTCTTCATCGTCATCTGGCAGTGAAGATGCGCAGTTAATATGGTGTTCGAGCTAGGGAGGACAAGATTCGTATCCGATGAACGGACGAGAGAAATCAGGGCATCATACCATCATCGACCTAAACGGAACAGAAAACGAATCAGTCAGCTGGACATGTCTCGTTGTTTGGAGATCTAGTCGGTGGATAATAAGGAACTCACCATTTCTTCGGCCTCGCTCTCGTCACTCTCATCATCGTCCATGCGCATGTCTTGAGTGGGGTCTGTGGCCTTGCCCTTGCCCTTGTCCCAGGCAGCAGCATCGGGAGCATTGGCGGCAGGGTCGAAGCCGGTGGTAGCTTGGTTGTTGTCACCCATGATGAATGAAGAAGAAGAAGAAGAGGAGTAGTGGTAGTACACGGGAGGGTGGTTCTGAAGATGGATTGGTAGTGTTGGAAGTAAAGGCAAAGCCAATCGAGTAGGAAGGGAAAATTCGTAAGGAACAGGAAATTCAAATACAGGGGATAGCAGGAAGCGTGGAGTTTAAGTAGGCAGCGGTGTCAAGGGCAGCGAGGATAACACACTCTCTCTGTCTGTCTGTCTGTCACACTCTTCAAGGCAAGATCAGTTCCTGTCGCAAGGGGAGATTCACCTCGGCGGGCATTGGGGCGATGATTGGTTGCCAGGGGTGGCGATCAGCTGCAGCTCCCGTGATGGGGCTTTGCCCTGTTGGTAGGCCTCATAACAAACAAATGCTAGAAGTTCTGGCCCTGCAATCAAGGGAATTGCCATTACTGCCTTCTATAATCAGGCACAGTCACTACAAATGGATATGAGCTTGGTCTACTAGTACTGCTGCAGATTGGCAGACTGACAAACAACAGAAGCTTTGTTTGAGTGTAGTGCAGCGGCGGTTTCTCAGACAACGGATTTTGATCGCGGGGAAGATTTAGTAGTAGGGGGTAGCTGGAGTGGAAGTTTCTCAAAAGGATGGATATACAGCTACAAAAACGAGGAATAATATTATGTGGAATGTAATGGATTCTTTAAAGAAGTATGTATTCATGAGGAATATTGCTGGAGCGATTGATGGCTCTGCTGGAAAGGGGCTAGATTCGTTAGTTATAACTAACTAATTGTTGTGCCAGGTACCCTGTCAAAGAGTGACTCAAATCATGTGACAGTTCTGGACTGGCCAAGAATGCGTAGGAAAGAAAAGAACAAGAATGGAAGTATGGAAAATTCATCGAAATTCTCCGAAGGAGAAGAAAGAAGAAAGAAGAGGAGAAAATGATATGAATCAGCGTCATCATGACGGCCTCTATTCTGCCCAATTCCATGGGTGTCCAAAATCTTCCCCAAACAGGGTGAGAATTGAGTACAGAGTAAGCTATGTTGTACAATTGACACTTCTGTTCTACGACTATCTGCACAATTTCTCACGTTAGGAATTGAAGAAGGGGGATTGGGCGGCCATTCATTTTGGAATTCATTCTTTGGGAAACAGTAGTATCATGAGATAATAATAAATCAGAAGAATAACTCAAAATAGTGATTTACACGCGAGTGAGTCATGGTTGTGAACCAAAGATCGTGTGAAATCACTAAAATTAAAATCAAATCAAAAATAATAAAATGTCAAAGAAAATTCGGATTCTGCCCATTACGTCATCCGGATTACCCCGCCAACCGCCCACCAAAAAAATCCCCTCAGAGAGTCATTCTAGATCTATCCATCTTCAATGCTGCAGGGAAGTAGATCGTAGCATCACACAGAGAGAGAGAGAGATAGAGAGAGGGAGGGGAGATAGTAACTACTAGTGTTAGATCGTAGTCAACCCCCCAGATCATACCAGTGCCCCCTTCTCCCCTAAACCCAGAACGAGTGAATTCTCGAAGGGTCGAGTGAATGCTGGGCAGGACTGGGGCGCGGATGGAAGCCAGTCGAACCCGATGGATGCCCATCGAAACGGGCAATTGCTAGAAGCTTCGCTGGAGCAGCAGCTCACCGCCCGCCACTATATCAGCTTTCGCTCTCGCACAAATTCTCGTCCCCTCGATTTCTTTTTCTCTCCATCAATCTCTTCCTCTTTATACCCCAATCTTCCCATTCTTCTTTTGTGTTTTGTACACTACTCTCTCCTAACGAATTCCCTTCTCCCTCTTCTCTCTCCCTTAACGAACCTCCTCTTACACACATAAACACACATACATACACACACACACACACACACACACATTCATCATGGCCCCCGCTGTCGGTATCGATTTGGGAACCACCTACTCCTGTGTGGGTGTCTTCCGTGATGACCGCATTGAAATCATCGCCAACGACCAGGGTAACCGCACTACCCCCTCTTTCGTGGCTTTCACCGACACCGAGCGTCTCATCGGTGATGCCGCCAAGAACCAGGTCGCCATGAACCCCCACAACACCGTCTTCGATGCTAAGCGTCTGATCGGTCGTCGTTTTGGCGACGCTGAGGTCCAGTCCGACATGAAGCACTGGCCCTTCAAGGTTGTCGAGAAGGGTGGCAAGCCCATCGTCGAGGTTGAGTTCAAGGGCGAGGCCAAGCAGTTCACCCCCGAGGAGGTCTCCTCCATGATCCTCACCAAGATGCGTGAGACCGCTGAGGCTTACCTCGGTGGCACCGTCAACAACGCTGTCATCACTGTCCCCGCCTACTTCAACGACTCTCAGCGTCAGGCCACCAAGGATGCTGGTCTCATTGCCGGCCTGAACGTTCTCCGTATCATCAACGAGCCCACCGCTGCTGCCATTGCCTACGGTCTGGACAAGAAGGCCGAGGGTGAGCGCAACGTCCTCATCTTCGATCTTGGTGGTGGTACCTTCGATGTTTCCCTCCTGACCATTGAGGAGGGTATCTTCGAGGTCAAGGCCACCGCTGGTGACACTCACTTGGGTGGTGAGGACTTCGACAACCGCCTCGTCAACCACTTCGTCAACGAGTTCAAGCGCAAGCACAAGAAGGACCTCACCTCCAACGCTCGTGCTCTCCGTCGTCTCCGCACCGCTTGCGAGCGTGCCAAGCGTACCCTCTCTTCCGCTGCCCAGACCTCCATTGAGATCGACTCTCTCTTCGAGGGTATCGACTTCTACACCTCCATCACCCGTGCTCGTTTCGAGGAGCTCTGCCAGGACCTCTTCCGTTCCACCATGGAGCCCGTCGAGCGTGTCCTCCGTGACGCCAAGATCGACAAGTCCTCCGTCCACGAGATCGTCCTGGTCGGTGGTTCCACCCGTATCCCCAAGATCCAGCGTCTCGTCAGCGACTTCTTCAACAAGGACGCCAACAAGTCCATCAACCCCGATGAGGCCGTTGCCTACGGTGCTGCCGTCCAGGCTGCTATCCTGTCCGGTGACACTTCCTCCAAGTCCACCAACGAGATCCTCCTGCTCGACGTTGCCCCTCTCTCCCTGGGTATCGAGACCGCTGGTGGTGTCATGACTGCTCTCATCAAGCGTAACACCACCATCCCCACCAAGAAGTCCGAGACCTTCTCCACCTACTCCGACAACCAGCCCGGTGTCCTGATCCAGGTCTACGAGGGTGAGCGTGCCCGTACCAAGGACAACAACCTGCTCGGAAAGTTCGAGCTCACTGGCATTCCCCCCGCCCCCCGTGGTGTTCCCCAGATTGAGGTCACCTTCGACCTTGATGCCAACGGTATCATGAACGTCTCTGCCATCGAGAAGGGTACTGGAAAGACCAACAAGATTACCATCACCAACGACAAGGGTCGTCTCTCCAAGGAGGAGATCGAGCGCATGCTTGCTGAGGCCGAGAAGTTCAAGGCTGAGGATGAGGCTGAGGCTTCCCGTATCCAGGCCAAGAACGGTCTCGAGTCCTACGCTTACTCCCTCAAGAACACCATCAACGAGGGCAAGCTCACCATCAGCGATGAGGACAAGCAGAAGGTCACCTCCAAGGTTGACGAGGTCATCAGCTGGCTCGACAGCAACCAGACCGCCGAGAAGGACGAGTACGAGGCTCAGCAGAAGGAGCTTGAGGGGTATGTTCATCCTTTCCTTTCATCTTGAAGAAACAATTTTGAATCATGACGCTAACTTTTTGACTTACAGTGTTGCCAACCCCATCATCTCCGCTGCCTACGGTGGTGCCGCTGGTGCCGCCCCCGGCGGTGCTGCCCCCGGTGCTACCCGCACTGCTGACGAGGTCGAGGAGCGCCCTGAGGAGCTCGACTAAATGCTTTAACCAGCTGCGGTCTCGATTCTTTTCTTGTTCTTTCTTCATTATACCTCCAGCCGTTTGCAGATAGGCGAGCGGTTTTAATGGATCTGCTTGTTTCTTTTTCCTAGTATCATGTTAACGAATTTATGGGAATCACTTTTTCTTTGTCTATGCATAGATTCGAGTTGCTAGTTGTTACTGCATGATGACTTGCTCTGCAGACTCTGGGAGGGAAAAAGTTTCCTTTCGACGAATACATTACCTTAATTCAAATTCGTGCAATTGTAGATACAATGGACTCTTCATATTTAATTCGCCCACTTCATTGTTCACTTGAAATTGAACATTGTTGTATCCCGTCATAACTTTCTTGTCTAGACCACCTAGTCTGATTTCTACCACAATACTAAACTAGTTAGTTAGTACTTTATAATGATCTGGGAATATCTCAATCAATCATCGCATCATATGTAATCAGTAAAGATCGCTCAATCCCACAAAGTGACTGATAATAACAATAGAACCCTCAACGCCCTACCCAACCCACCCATAATATACAGTTCCAATATACACACACATTCACCCCATCCAACCCATAAACATAATCCTCATACCTTCCCCACCAATAACACATCCATATCCTCATTATCAACCTCCAATCCACTCAATCCACTAGTCATAGCATCATACCCCAGCACAACCCCCAAACACAAACACAAAACAAAGCAATGTCGACAGAGACCGAGCGACCGGGTATAACGAGAGAAAGGTAATTACAACCCCTCAAAATCCCCCGCCCACCACCTTCTCACTCTCCCCGCGCCCAGCGAAACCACATGTCCAATACCAATATCCTTAGCCTGGTCGGGAAACTTTTCGCGCTGGTCGCGCTGAATGCGCAATAATGCCGCCGAGGTGCCGATGGTGAGGGCGAAGATGGGGTCGGCGATTCTAATTTTCAATTCGCATTGGTCGTTAGTATTGATATTATGATTCTGATTTTGATGGATTGGTGATGTGTGATGGGTGTATGTATGTATGCGATCTGTCGATTGAATTCAAGGAACAGGTAGAGAGGGATTATTGCCATGCGATGTCGGCTTCATATTAGGTAGGTGGGTAGGTAGGTAGGTGGATGGGTAGAGGTGCATGCATGCGGCAATGAGGGAATTAGGATATATGTGCTAAACAGGACGACGTACTTGGAGATTAGGTAGACTGGCATTTCGGGCGGCTTGGCTGTGCAGGCTTGGCTATGCAGGCTTTGGCTGGTGGGGAATGTGCGCTGGATGAAGATGAGTTGTAGACTTGAGATGAGTACTAGTTTGAAGCTGTAGCTGGTGTGCAACTCCGCGCCGGATGTCATGGGTCACGTGATATATAGGCTGGTTGAGGTGTATCTCGATTCGGATTGGTGATAATGTCTGTTAAGTAGTAGATGGCAGTATGCTAGTGCTGCTACTATACCTGCAAAGTTGGTGGCTGGTCGATATGTAGCTACTCTAAACGTTTAGTCCCTACAATGGCATTGTCTTCAATACCGGCTGCAGCCAGAAATATGCTTACCGGTTGAGAATGAGCCGCAATACGTTGAACAAACCCAGTAGACTGACATCTACTACTGCCACAATTCATGATTAAGAGGAGTTGTATTTCGTATCCAAGAGCATACCACCTTGCACCCATCATCCGGAACAGTGCCGAAGGGAAAAAAAGAGTCTATCATAAATACACAAAGGCTTAACAGAATGAATGCTCTATAACAGCACCAAAACAAAGCCCTGAATCGAACATAAAAAGTAATAATGTCAAAATAACCCCGGATATGGGTAAAACATGAAAAAGACACTCGCTTTTCGGATCAGCTAATCATCAACATCTTTAAACAACCTGGCCGAAGGCGGGGATCAACGTCTGAGCCAGCCAGAAGCTGAAAACGAGCTTGGGTCCGGTCATCAGGAGCTTGGGCGTCAGACCCTTGAAGAAACTGGAGACACCCTCGTTCTTGACCATGTTGGACAGAATGCGGAAGCCGGACTCGGGGTTCTCGAAGTTGCGGTTCTGGATACGGGTCTTGATCACATCCAGAGGAGCCGACACAACCAGGGAGGCACTGGCACCGCAGATGGAGGCAACGAAGTTCTGGCTCCAGGAAGCAGTGTTGTAGTCCTTCAGGGAGTAGATGTACTCCTTGGCGAAAGCGGAACCACCGAAGAGCTATTTCCAGGCATTAGTATCGAACAGTCATACATGAAAAAGAAGGCAACAATCGGGACCATGGGAACATACAGCGAAAGATCCGGGAGCGTTACGGGCGGCAGTCCAGCCAGCACCACGGTAGAGACCCATACCCTCATCGGAGATGATCTTGAACAGACCGCGGCCACGGAAAGCCTCGGGGTTAGTCTGACGCTTGATCTTCAGGACGTCAAGGGGCAGAAGGACGATCTCTCCGATACCGATCAAACTGTTCCCATATGATTAGCCAGAGCGTTATCGTCGATGACCAAAACACAAAACATACCTTCCAGCAGTGGCGTGCATGATGGCCTTGCCGGTACCCTTGCCGAAAGCATTGTCGAAGTCGGAACCCCAGTGCTGAGCGAGGTAGTCGCGAGCGAAAGGCTGACCACCGTACTTGTAGATACGCTGGAGAACCTTGTAACCGGCGGCGTAACCCAGACCGGGGAAGAGGGAGGTGAACTTGCCGCCGAAAGAGGCGTTGGCGTACTCCTTGAAGACAACCTGGTTCAGACCGGCGGTGGAGGTAATCTAAGCCAGCGCACAGTTAGCCCAATGCATTTCTATGGCCTTGTATGGATAAGGGATAGGAAGTGTCGTACCCGAGTCTGGTTGCTCATCAATCGCTTGGAGATGGTATCAACCTGGTCGATGAGTCAGTTTTTGATTTCTCAGGCGAGAAGAGCGCAATCGATGCGCAAATATTCGAGAGGGTAGTGTCTAATCGTACAGGGTGGAAGACCATCAACTCCGCAATTCCGGCAGTTCCTGAGACGGAGAGTTAGTCCTCGAGCGCAACCCCCACGCCCTGGGCACAAGATGGGTGTGACACATACCGGAACCCAGAAGACGAGCAGTCGCGGATTCTCTCTTGACATCCTTAGCGGCAGAGCCAGCACCGGCTTGGGCCATAGCGGGAGACATCTTGATTATGGGAATTGGGCTGAGTTGGGCGTAGTCGGGGTAGAAATTGGAGAGTATAAAATTTTCCAGGCCTGAGGCTGCTTTTCCGTCGGGGAGATGAAAAGGCGATTCAGAAGGAAAGAGGAAGGACGGAAAGATTTATATATAGGACAGGAATGCCAACAAAGACAGGACAAGAGACCACAGCCGGGGCTAGGCAATGCAGCAAAGAAAAGGATGATGGGTAAGGCGGATGCACGAGAGAGGGAGGGGAGGAAAAAGAGCAAGAGGAAGAGGAAGAGACCGAGAAAGATGGACTGACTGACTGTTTCTGCGCCGACTCGGAACCGCTCCAAGCGTCGCGGCCGGTGCTTCAACGCCACTAGCCCCCTTTGGGCCTGGCACTACCGGCCCTGGATCGGAGCGGCCCTGATTATCTCAGCAGCCGGTGACAAACTAACTGGGTTTAGATAATCTAGTTAGTTATCTAAACTACTAATCCATACATTAGTTAGTTCTAGTTATTCCATGGTCAGGAAAGTATGTAGTACGTAGTAGCTTGTTCAGTCATGACTATGTTGTTACACCTGAATCTACGGTCACACAAGACAAGCTTCCATCAATAGCAACGATTGTTTCTCATTTAAACTACCATCTGAAGAAGAATACTCATTTCGCCAAGAGAGTTCACGAAGATTAATGAAGAGCCCCCAAGATAACGCCCGCGTACAGCACAGCATAGAAACATCACAGCGTAGTCGAGCTCGCCATCCACCCCTGTCCTACAGCAACCAACCCCTACATCCAGGAAGTCAATCCGCAACTTCCCCAAAAGAAGGAAAAGGCAACTGAAGGAAGTGACTTGAACGATGACGGCAGCGAATTCACTTCAAGAGACAGGGAAATCAGACCAAAAGGGAAAAGATGAGATCGACCAGCGCCTAGCAGTCACCGAACGTATTCTCGCCGGAGTACCTAATAAAGAAAGATCCGGGTTAGCACTATGCACACAGAACAGATATACTAGGGTATTGGAGGGGTCGGCATACGTGATATACAAGAAGCCATCTTCATCCTTGTGCTCTTCATAGATGCTGCTCATCAGAGCAGCCGTAGGTGGTAAAACCTCATCGACAAAGATAAAGATCGCCTTCTCAGGAGACAGCTTGATCCGCTTACGGATCACGTAGACGAACTGTCCAACTGTAAGGTCGGCAGGGACAAGGTACTTCTTCTTGTCGATGGTAGCGATGTCCGATTTTTCGACCTTTTCGCAGATTACCTGTAGGATAGAAGCTGGGTTAGCGACTCGAACAAGCGGTGAGCTAGGGACCCGGTTTCTCCCCCCAAAAGACCATGAAACCAAAATCACAGTAGGAGGTGAAATAGAAGATAGACGTACTGGAATGCGATCGGCATATTTCTGGCGGATACGCTCGGCCTCTGCCTTGCGCTTCTCGAAGGGGTGCTCGTCCTTAAACTTGGAACGCATATTGATAAGTTGATGAGGGCGGCTAATAGGTCTGGTCCGACGGGTCCCTTAAGGGGGAGATAGTGAAGAAGTAGACGAAGAGGAGCGAAAGGGTGACAGAAGCTGGATGAGTTAAGAGATAACAGAGCAAGGGTGAGATGGCCGATGGATAGATGGATGGGATGGGATGGAGAGATAGATGGATGATGACAAAAGGTGAGCAGGCTGGCAGTTGTAGAGAGAGTTGAAGGCGACAGCCCCGCGTCATTTGGTGAGGGAACGGCTTCCACGACTGATAAGGCCGCCAGGCAAGCGTGGATCACGGGGTGGAGGCGGTGAGCGGCCCCACACGTGAGTCAGGTCGGGTCATGTGCTGGCTCGATTCATAGCACATTCGATCATCTTTCGGATATCTAAGCCAGTCCGTCAGGGCAGTTCCTGTCGTCATCCTGGCACGTGGATGTCGTGCACTCATCCAAATGACCAATGCGGATGATACCGTCTGGTTGTCATCGAGCTGGGCCGCCTTTGCGTTACTGCATCGGTAGTGAAGTGGTAGCTCGGCGGGCGATGCCTCCAGCCTCCACTTAGGATCAGCGCCTAGATTATGGGGTTTCCCATGCTAGAATGGTTACTGTCTACCGCTTGGTGCAGCACCCACATTTTCTGCACTCTATCTAGTTACTGCTGTTGAGTGACTCAAGATCGCTCACTATCTGCATAGTAGTTAAATCTACTTCGCTAGTGACTGACACATTCTTCACTCATGGAGCAACCCCGCTTGATGTTGTGCTGCTGCCTTGGGGGGTGTTCGGACCCAGGGGTTGGCATCGGCATTGGCATTGGCAGCCCTGCAAACCATGCAAAGTGCTTATCTCAGCCGGGCCGGGTCCCATGTTCAGACAAACCCAACAATCATTGCAAACTGCACAAACAGAATTCATATCCTCACGACATTCGGGAATATCGAGGCCGCAGGTGGTCCCATACTGTGCCTCGGAGCCGATGATCTGAACAAATCCTCCATTACCAAATCCCTACCCACTACTGGCTCTAGACCATAGGTGGAGCTCGGAGGGAACAACAACCGGTCGATTCTCGACAGGCACAATACCTGGCACCACCTGATCTTTGGCAGATCAGCCAATTCCATCTACTCTGCAACAATGGCTGTTCCCCGGCCATATATGCCTCTTCGGAGGTCGCTCTGTCAATTCTCATCTCGATCCTGTCGCACACCTCGCAATCTCTCAGCGCCCTTTCGCAGATACTCTTCGGAACAGAAACCCCCTTCCGAACCCAAGCCATTCACTGTCTGGAGACCATACCTACGGCTGGCCATTGGTGTGCCCTTCATCGGTGCTTTGGTGTATTCCATGGTAGGCTTTACCCACCATGCACTTTGCGCGAATGTCTTAATCTGACTATATTCAATACAGATGACAGAAGAAGTAACCGAACTCGACTCGCCTTCCCTCGTGGAACTCGATGAAACTCTCAAGAAGCAAGCCACGATCAGCGAACAATCTCCCATGCGCCTGCGCATGGAGAAGCTGATCAAGGACCACCAACAGAAAATCATTGAAGAGCTGAGCCGGATAGATGGAAAACAATTCAAGACTGATGCCTGGACGCGCCCCAACGGCGGAGGTGGAATATCCTGTGTCCTCCAAGACGGAAATGTTTTCGAGAAAGCCGGAGTCAACGTATCCATCGTCTACGGCGAACTTCCCCGGCCAGCCATTGAGAAGATGCGAGCAGACCACAAGTCCTTCGTTGGCGCCGACGTGGACTCCTTGAGCTTCTTCGCTGCCGGTCTGTCCCTCGTTCTCCACCCCCACAACCCCATGGCCCCAACCGTCCACCTGAACTACCGGTACTTCGAGACATCCGACCCCAAGGACCCCCTCAATGGCGACAAGAACTGGTGGTTCGGCGGTGGCACAGATCTGACCCCCACCTACCTTTTCCCCGAAGACGCCAAACACTTCCACCAGACCATCAAAGACGCCTGTGATCGCCACGACGCCACATACTACCCGAAGTTCAAAGCCTGGTGCGACAAGTACTTCTATATCCCCCACCGCCGCGAATGCCGCGGTGTAGGAGGTATCTTCTTCGATGACCTGGACGCCAGCTTCCTCCAGTCCTCGTCAACCTCCTCACAGAACCCCCAGGAGACCCTTTTCTCCTTCGTCTCGGACGGTCTCGCTTCTTTCCTCCCCTCTTACGTCCCCCTTATCGAACGCCGGAAGGACATGCCTTTTACACCCGAGCAAAAGGAGTGGCAACAGCTTCGACGCGGTCGCTACGTCGAGTTCAATCTCGTCTATGATCGCGGTACTAGCTTCGGTCTCCGCACCCCTAATGCCCGCATTGAGAGTATTCTGATGAGTTTGCCCCGCACGGCAAGCTGGGCTTACATGGACCCCGTTTCGGGAACCCGGACGGAGGATTCTGTAGATGGTGATGAGGCACTTCTGGGGGAGGGCAAGGAGCGCGAGAAGGAGATCATGGATGTTCTGAAACATCCTAGACAGTGGGTGTAATGCTGCTGAATTAGATGGATCATGTGTCATCGGCAAGGATTTGGTTTCTTTTCCTGAAAATTATGTATTATCTGCATGTATATTATTTTATGAGCTGCATCTATAGGCTACGTCACGTCAAAAGCAGCACTGTCTCTAGAAATCTGAAAAAAGAAAGACTTTCAGAATATACACTTGTCTAACACATGCAACAATGCCATAAAGGTGCGTATGATATGTTTATAATGCCGATCAAGCTCCAACGAAAAACCCAGGGGTAGTAGTAGTAGTCGTAGTAGTTGAGCCGCAACGAGCTGGTATAGCGCGGCGAGCAACGGAAACATATGTATGTAGAAAGAAAAAGGTATAGCAACAACAAACACAGTCTTGGTAACGATGGAAAATGCGCAGGGGAGAAGAAGGGGAAAGGGTAGAATTAGAAAGACATGTACGAAGAAGAGATAGGACGTAAACCATATCGCCAACATACAAACCGGAGCTTTATCGACCAGCGACCACGCTTCTTTGCCTGGCTAGCCAGCCCTTCTGAGCATCGGCCAGGGATCCATTCCGATACCGGGCCAGGCCAATGTTGTTGTTCTGTAATCGATTCTGGAGTTCGTACCAGGAGGAGCTCATCAAAGTCAGCTCCCGCGCTTGAGCATCGATTATCTTCTGGAGTTCGAGCTGTTTGGAGAAATTGAATATTAGTGGCTTGCAATAGCTAGTCCGTGTCAAATGACAACTTACCTCGCGCTCTTTGCTGATTCCATCATCCGTATCCTCTTCAAGTTGCTTTATCCGCTCTTGGAGGAACTTGATGTGTTCGTTCTGTTGATGGATATACTGCAAGATGATTCGTATTAGTCTTTTGTAGGCCGTAAAGTGCAAATGGGATAGGATGTATCAATGGGTCAAGGTGGCAGCCGAGCTTCAGCGCCTGAACCGCTTGGCGATTAATCGACCCAGGCGCGATAGACCGGGTGCCTTCGCTGCTAATATCTGGGTCGAATCGCCAAATGGCCGATCCGCAAGAAGATCGAGACGTTTCCTCTCGCCACTGAGGCTACCGAGGCGAATAGCCCTTGCTTGGTTCGGGATAACACAGGTTGAGAGCCGATGGGGTTTCTTGTAACTAACCTCTGCACGTTTCGCCAGCCTCTCCAGATTCTTTTCAATCTGCGCGGCGACTTGTCTAATGAGCTCTACAGCCGACTTTTGAGCAGCTTCGGGATCATCGCCATTTTCCTGTGCAGTGAGTTCGGCCAGCAGCTTCTTCATTTCCTCTGCAGCTTCGTGATCTTCCGCACGGAATTCCGCTTGCTTCTTCTCGAGCAAGTTTCGCAGATCGTCACGTTCGGCACATGTGACCTGGACCAGAGCCTGGGTTGAATCAAGCTCGGCCTGCAAATTGTACAGTCTGCGCATAGCATCATCTTCTCCTTCACGAGCCTTAGTCAAATCCGATGCGCTGCTCGCTTTGACCTCGGCAATCAGATCCATATTCTCTTTGTTGGAGAGTTCAACTGTATTCGTGTAAGCAAATTTCACACACGGATTTCGCCGAACAGTAGCTACTCACTTTCCGCCAGCGCATCGTTCAGCGACCTCTTGGATACATCGAGAGCTTCTTGGGCCTCGGCCAATCTCTTGAGGGCAGATGTATACTGGTCGTACAACTTCCAGTAATCATCACTGATGCATCGTTAGCGGTTATACTAGCTAGGCTGCTCCTAGTAGAAAATACCTCTGCGAAGAATTTGCGCGGGCCTGTTGCAGCGTTTCATTGAAGGCTTCGGAAAAGTCCAAGCCCACCTGTATTACCTTGTTAGTGGCTTCATATAAGATGATAGTAACCATATAAAGCAAACATACGGATGGCCCTTTCAGAGATTCCACTTCCTTCTTCAGCTCTTCATTCTCAGATTTCCTGTAGCGAGTTAGCCTAGATCTCCGTCGTTGTAGCACAGGGTCTTCTAACAGCTGTGATTCCTTCACACCGATCGCCTCAAAGTCTTTCTGCAGAGTGCCCTCGAGCTTGGGAGTTTCAGTACCCGGCGTCAGGGATGGGCTTCCAGGAGAACCTTCCAGTTCACGGATTCGCTCACGGAGCTCGCTTATCAAAGCATCATCACGTTCGCGCTGCTCATCGGCGTTACTGAGTCGCTCTGTGAGAGCATGGTTGTTGAACTCGAGCTGCTTCTTCAGGTTTTGGATTTCACTGCACTCCTGCTCAATGCGAGGCAAAACTCTGCGGTATTCTTCAAGCTCCACCTCACGCTCGGAGTTCCATTTCTGCTGCGAATCCGCCTCCTTCAGCTGTTGCTGGAAGTCTTTGATCTGGTTCCTGAGCGACTGGTTCTCCTTCTCGAAGTCCTGGCTAGCCTGCAGCTTCTGGCGGTACTTTTCGGCCGCATTCGCCTTACGGGCGAGTTGATCTCGCTCAGTCTTCAGCTCATCATAGTCATCCTGAAGCTTCTGGAATCGTTGGTTCTTGACGCGTAACGACTCCACCGTCATGCGTAAACTGTCGATCTCATCCTGCGCTGTAGCCAGCCTTGCTTCCTGAGTTGCGATAATGTCTTCCTGTTGGCGGGATTTAGACTCGAGAGCCTTTGCGCTGAGTCCAAGATCACCCTTCCCAGACCTCAAGTTGACTAGTCGGTCTTCGGTCGATGCAAGCCGGCTTTGTAAGGTATCGTTGTTCTCCTGGAGGCGCGCCAGGCGATCGTGCATATCATCGATCTGTTTCTGCATGTCCTTTTTCTCACGCGCCATCCGGTTATTCTCCGCCAACACCTTTCCTACCCGCTCTTCAAACTGCAGTTCCGGGTCGACGGGCAGATCCCGCTCCTCCTTGACATCGTCCTCGCCATCGATAGCCTCATGCTGACCATTCTGAGCTTCCTCGAAGATGTTTTTCAGGGTCTCTTGCGTCGGGGTACTTAGGCTCTGAAGGGTCTCGACGTAGGTCTGCGCGTTGGGGGAGCGGATGGCGGCGATCAGAAGGAGCTTCAGGAGTTTGTTGGCCTCCTTGACGGAGTTCTTTTCGGCGACCAATTCGAGGTTGGGATTGGGGTCAAGACCCGTGGGCATGCCATCGGGTTGTTGGCGGATGTAGTTGACGAGCAACTTGTGGATATGTTTCAGGTTCTGCCATTTGGATAGCCAGTGGTCGGACGGGGCGCGCTGGGGGATCTCGTCGAGGAAATACTGCGGATCGATGTCCTGCAAGATCTCCCAGATGATGGTGCCATCTGATAACTCCTCGGTCGTCCGGATAGTCTTACCCAAGGCGAAACTGTTGACCCATTCCAGCAGGGCCTGGGTGACGGTATGCTCCGCAGCCATGGTCGGGCGATGTTGACTGCAATCGGGGGCAATCAACTGGGCGGGGAACACGGCGGTTGTTGCAAATTCCAGGAACGGCTGGGTGGAATTGCCGGCAATTGTATTCGGATCGCGGCCAGGAGGGGCTAATTGCGACCCCTCAGCACGGTTGAGTTTAAACCTGGACGGCGGAGGAAGAGGACTGTGCCTCGATGAGATCCTTTTTTGAGCGCCTCCGGGGCGTTGGAGGCGGGATCCACGCTACGCGCATCGACGAGCTATAAATACCGAAGTCCCGCTTGGGGGGAAAGGAATGATTTAGGGTCACCCACAGCGCTGCTTCCTTATTTTCTACTTTCCCCATGTGAAACAACATCCACTGAGGATGAAGATGGTTTGAAAGATTGGAAAAGTGACAAGTGATCCCTATCATGTATTCATATCTTGGTTGCTTTTGTGTTGTTTGTTGAGTTATGGGAAACAGTCGCCGGCTTTATAAATTATGACATAAAATGGTCCATTAGACAAGAACAAGACACAAACTTTTTTTCCAGAAACAGAAGAAGACAAAGGATACATAAAAATCCTGAATTACAATCTAAGCTAGTTTTTTCCCATCCATTATCGACCATCAAGGGTCGAGCCCCGAAACCAGCGGGAACCCCATCCATCATACAGTAGTAATTTGGAATAGAGAAAAGGGAGCTTTCTTCCCCCGCACTATCCAATATCGCCCTCACTGAATAGTGACAGTCATGTCTTTCTCGACAGTTGGATTGTATGCCGCGAATTGAGTTGACAGCTGTTGGACCGAGTCGGCCTTGGTGTCGGCTGCGAAGCCCCTGTGTGTATGTATGTCAGACCAAGCAAGCACCTCAAATCTTCCAAGAGAGAATTACTTGAGCAAAGCTTTAGAGAGCAATATATGTTAGCACTGCCACTACCCAAAACGCAAGGATGACTAGGGATAACTGCTTACTGTAATTATGGGTGATCTTGCCACCCTAGCAGAAACGGCCAGTTAGTAACATATAGATGTGCCAACGCTGTCAAAGCACCCGGTCACATACAGCGTCCTTAACTGATTGCTTTGCCTGATCAACCACCGAGTCAGGGGTACCTGAAGGGAACGTGACCAGAATCGATTCGGCCAGAGCCAAGGGAAGCAACCCCAAGACGGTAACAGTAGCAGACAACTTCATGGTGAAGAATTCGACACAAGGCAATGTCTCCAAAAAAAACCGATGATAGTGTTACAAAGACCCAGATTCAAGTACCAATGGTTGTAATATAGAGATAGAGGCGATGAAGAAGGAGTTGTACCTAGTCAAGTTGGGAGAGTAAGGTGTGACTGCGTCATACTACCCACTCACAGCGATTCACGAGAGCGCTGGAATGCATTGCCCGAATAGGGTTAGTCGGTAACGGATAAGGAACTAGAGTCTCAAACTAGTGCGCTGACTCAGCCAGTCACGCCGCGGCGCTGACGCTTTCTATTCTTCGGACCTCGTGAGCGCAACTTCCGCAATTCTGCCTGCCTCTTCCTGCTCCCTGTTCGCTTCCCTTTCCCTCGCTTCTTCCCGGCCGATTTTGGCTGCTTTGCTATTTCCTGGTCATTCTGGTCGAGCTTTGATTTTCCTATTCAGCTGACTTTCTTTTCCCTTGGTCCCCTCTGCACGCCCGATCTCCCCATCGAGGTGTGTAACTGCTGGGGGTATTTCCCAACTTCACTCCGAGACCTTCCCCCTCCCCTCCATCTCTCATCCACTCCCCTTCGCCCCGGTTTGGTTCCTCTACTAGTTATTGTCTACTGGAAGGGTCAATCAGTACGGGTGATTGTATGAGATAGATTGATTAACACTGGGTTGACGGGGTGTTGTAGCGCGGGTTCTTTGTTGACTTTCGGGTTCTGGTGGAGGATTTGCGCTTGCGGCCTCCTGTTGTTGTCTCAAGTCTGACCAAGATAGCTAGCAAGCATTCTACAAGTTCCGACAGCTCTTTCCATCTCTTGCACTCAGGAGATACGTTTATTTGGAGAGAAACAAAGCACGCGGATATAGGAATCTTTATATACGGTGGTAAAAGGGACAAAGCCGGGGGAAAAAATCAGAGGAGAAAAGAAGAGAGAAAACAAAGCAATAAGAAGGACAAGTTCCTAACAAGAAAGGAGAAAAGGGAAGAAAGTCAAGAAAAAAAAAAGCAAGAAAACAACAAGAAGATAACAAAGTCCAAGGAAGAGAAAAGGAACTGGAAAATACAGTGGAAAAACAAATAATTAATATAAAGAGGAGGATTCAGAGGAGAAAGAACAAACACAAGGAACATAAGTATTCTTTCCGAGTGTTACGCCCTTCTTTAGCGCTTGTCCATTGTTCATTTCTTTCTTCCTTGTCGATACCCTTTTCTTATTCTCACTTGCCCCCTGTTCCCCCCTTCATCAGCCTCATCAGCCTTTGTATCTGCCCACCATGTCATCCGGGTTGGCCTCCGACGAAGTTGCCGAGGACTACAAGAATTCCTTGGAAGATCTAACCAACAATGACAGGTTTCAGATCAGCAATCTGACTGTCATAGCCAAGGAGAACACTGAACATGCGATGGCCATCTCCCGCGTGTTGGAGAACCACATTCGAACAGTAGGTGACACGCTCTCAGAATACCACCGGTTGGGCCCTCGTCGAACCTGATGAGGGCGCTCAACCCGTCTGTAGTCTCTCTTTGGGATGAACGAATTCTAATCTGCTCTGTAGACTCCGCCGGCTCAGAAGTTGCCCGCCTTGTATGTAGTCGATTCGATTGTCAAGAACGTAGGCACGCCCTACACTCTGTTCCTGGGTCGCAATCTGTATCAGACCTTCATGAACGCCTACACACTGGTCGATTCGCAGACGCGCAAGAAGTTGGATGAGATGCTCAAAACCTGGAAGGAGCCGGTGCCCGGTTCCCTCGACACCAGGCCCGTTTTCCCTCCAGAAATCACTCGCAGTATTGAGAGTGCTCTGATCAAAGCAAGGACTGCAGCGCTTCAGCAGCAGCAGGCTCGAACTCAACAAGACATCCTCGCTCGCGGTCGAGTTGGCACTCCTCCAGCGTGGAACAGCACTCCGACACCACCGCAAGGCATGGGCCGCCATCCACCTGCTGCAAATCAGGCTTTACCCATGCATTACCAGCGCAATGGCTCTGGTCACGGATATCCACCATCGGTAAGTATCATCTCACATTTTAGTACAGTGGCGGAAGGTCTCATTTGATTAGCAGGGTGAATCGTACTCTTCACGGGGAACCCCGACTCCCCAAGCCCAGCCACGTACAACAGAGGTTGATCTCGCCGCTCTCAACCGAGATATTGAGGCTCTTATTGCCACCGCCAGAAGCGATTTTGCCAACAATCCACTAGACCCCTCGATACAGCAACGACTGAAGGCTCTTCTGGATCTTCAGGGTATCTTGCAACGGCAAGAACTCACCCAGGAGCAATTGAGACTCGTCCGCGACCAGGTTTCAGCTCTCGCTCCGAAGCCTGCAATTCCGGCTCCTCAAGTTATTGCTCCAACTGTTCCAGCTGTTTCAACGCCCCCCATGGCTACTCCCCCAGCCCAAACACTTTCGCAACCTTTACAACAGCTCCTCAATCCTGGCACGCTTGCCGGGCTCCTCAAAGCTACTGCTACACGTCAGCAGCCGACTCCGCCGCCTCAAATCCACAATATCCTACCACAGATGCCCACTAATACCACCGCGCCGCAACCACCATCCGTCAGCGCCGCACCAGAAAATCCTCTCATTGCAGCCCTAAGAGCGCAGGGCTTGCTTCCACCGGCCTCGGCACCTCCGGCCGCTTTCACTGCTGCTCCGCCACCAAATGTCGCGCCTGCTTTCCCACTAATCGTACCGGGTCAAGTGCGAGTCACGCCTCCCGTCGCGACGCCGCAGGCACAACAAGGTACATCGAATGCGCAAATAAACGTTCAAATGAGTACAGCGTCCATCAAGATGTGAGTTTCCTGTGTCATGCTACATTGGTTTTCCTATCACTGACTTAATGAACCCCCAGCCCTCGACCAATGCTGCTCTCCAGCCTCTACGAGACCCGGTCAAACCGGTGTGGAACATGCGGTCAACGTTTCTTTGCAACGGAAGAAGGGAAGGAGAAGAAAGCTCGCCATTTGGATTGGCACTTCCGAACCAACCAGCGCATGTCTGAGGCAGCTAGGCGGGCCCAAAACCGCAGCTGGTACGTTGATGAACGGGTAAGTCACGCACCATTTCCGAACCAGTTATCCTGCAGTACTAACTATCTCCAGGATTGGATCAAATCCCGTGAGGCGGGAGATGAACAAGACCTTGCGGAGACGGAGGCCTCGGCTGAGGGTGTTGCTGGTGCTGACGGCGCTGCGACGAAGAAGGGGCCTCCTAAGCAGTGGATCCACGCCCCGAATGACGCGACATTGCGAAACACCCCTTGCCCTATCTGCCAAGAGAAGTTTGAGTCGACATGGTCAGAGGATGTACAGGACTGGATCTGGCAGGACGCAGTCAAGGTGGGAAGTCGCGTGTACCACGCCAGTTGCTATGCCGAAGTGACCAAGGACGGACCTACGCCAGCCAACCGGGGGACACCGTCAGGACGAACTGGGACTCCCGAGTCTGTTTTGGGAAAACGCAAGGCTGAGGTGAGTGATTCATCAATGAGAGTTATCCAGAAATTTTTGTGACTAACACGTATTATAGGGAACCGATTCTCCTGGATCCAATGTACGGATCAAAACAGAGCCCGTGTGATCGGGGTGTACACTCCCTTCTCTCGCTTCTCTTCTTCTCCTCCTCTTTGTTGATGATTCTCTGCTTTTGAGCGAAGATGCATCGTTCATTCAGCTTCACGGCTGTATTTTGCATGGGAAGGTTGAATGAATTCCCTTCCCCTGGGCGTTCCGGGGCAAGTGACGATGGTGATGGATCACAGGACACATACAGCACTCCCGGGCTCGCTGCCATGTATATAGTATCCCATTGTAGAACCAGATGAACCAAATATCAGGTCATTTATATACATATTGGATGTCTTTCATGTGATTAATAACGTAGAACCACTATATATAGATACTAACCCCCCAGTCTTCATAAGTCTCGGCGAATGACGTCGGCAAATGAAGCTGCCCCGCTCGGCGCAACTCCGCTCAGCGCAGCTAGAATTACTTTTATTCCTCACATCCCCTCGACATCTGTCGAGCATTCTTCAGAACTCGAGACATCCGTGCGACTGTGCAGCATTCCTTAGCCCTGTTGATCCCTGTTCAGCATCCAAAAAAGTCACCAGTCCTCCACCTTCACAATGGCTCCCCACAATATCCGGTGGGGTATCATGGGTAGGGACCAATTTCCCCGCATCCAGACAAACAAACAAAAAGATCCCTGGCTAACGAACATGGATGGCATTGCGCCTCTACAGCTACGGGCTGGATCGCCGATGGTAAGCCTCTCCTCCGAAATCTCACAGTCAGCAAATTTTCCTAACACCAACACTAGTCTTCACCCGCGATCTCCTAAGAGACCCCAGCATCCGCAACGTCACCGACGTCTCCCACACCGTCGTGGCCGTAGCATCCTCCTCCAACGCCGCACGAGCAGAGAAATTCATCTCAGACACCGGCATCCCGTCCCCCTGTGCCGCCTATGGCTCCTATGAAGATCTCGTAGCCGACGCCAACGTCGACGTCGTCTACGTCGCAACCCCACACTCCCACCACTTCCAGAATGTCATGCTGGCCCTTAACGCCGGAAAGCATGTACTCTGCGAAAAGGCCTTCACCGTCAACGCGGCTCAGGCCAAGATCCTCTGCGAGACCGCCCAGAAGAAGAACCTCTTCCTCATGGAAGCTGTTTGGACTCGCTACTTCCCTCTCAGTATCCAGATCAGGGACTTGATCAAGCAGGGTGCTATTGGTGAGGTCTTGCGGGTGATCTCTGATAACAGTTTCGGAGACCCGGTCGAGGAGAGATGGGGTACGGAACACCGTATGGTGAATAAGGATTTGGCGGGTGGTTGTTTGTTGGATTGTATGTGGTGTCTACCTACCATTTCCCTCCTCCCCTGAATGATGACAACGACAATTGATAACTGACCATATTCGATCGCACAGTGGGAATCTACTCCCTGACCTGGGTCTTCCAGACTCTCTACCACACTCTCCCCCGGGAGCAACGTAAACCCCCCTCTTCCATTTCTGCCCACATGACCCTCTACCACCTAACCGGCGCCGATGAGGCCACTACCATCCTTTTGAGCTTCCCGACCAGCACCCCCTCCAACCTTCCTCACCCGGGCCAGTCGCAGGCTGTGGCCATGACACATCTCCGCGTCTCTACTGATCCCGACGAGGCAAACACTGCCCGTCCGGCCATCCGGATCCAGGGTACGAAGGGTGAGATCCAGGTGGATGGGCCGGCGTTCCGGCCTGAGCGGTACCGTATCATCCCCGCCAAGGGGAACGGTGAGGTGAAGGAGGTTGAGTGCCCGTTCCCTGGAGATGGCAAGGGTATGTTCTGGGAGGCGGATGAGGTGGCGCGGTGCTTGAGGGACGGGAAGCTGGAGAGCGAGACTCTACCTTGGGAGGAGAGCATTGTGATCATGGAGGTGATGGATGAGGTTAGACGGCAGGGTGGGTTGACTTATCCGGAGAAGATCGAGTCCACTGTCTATCCTACGCAGCTGTAGATTTAGTAGTCATGTAATTCGGATAATATGATCTGGAATTTCAAGTTTTGTTCATATGTGACGGTCAAGAGTATATATCGGTGGCCTGTATACGCTAGTCCAAAAGATTAATAGCTACGCGATCATGGCGGTTTACTTGTCGGAGGTTATTCGCATTCCGAAATTACTACTATACAAAACAGATATCCCGCCGGAAGGCATGAGTCTATATAAGGACATGAGAAAGACAATTTCCATTCCCGGATGATGCAGGTCTTTTTTTCTGCCTTGCTTCGCCGGCCCGTGAGGGCAATCAAAAAAAGCCTCTACCTCCGGGCAAAGACATAAGCACCGGAACGATGGGTATCACAAAGGTACATCACTCCGGCCTCAGAGGTGGACGTCCTCTGCCATTTAAAGGCATCTAGTTCTGGCGGAAAACACCGAGCAGGCTCTTCCAGACCTGGCCAGGCTCCTGGCTGGCGTCAATGCCGCGCCAGATACCGGTCTTCTTGTAGTAATCGACAACGGGAGCGGTCTGGGCGTGGTAGGTGCCGAGACGCTTCTTGAGGGTATCGGCGTTGTCGTCGGAACGCTGGATGAGGGGCTCGCCGGTAACGTCATCCTTCATCTCCTCCTTGGGGGGGTTGAAGATCTTGTGGTAGGAGCGACCGGAAGCCGGGTGGACGAGACGTCCGGTGATACGGGCCACCAGAAGGGCATCGTCAATCTGAAGCTCAACGGCGTGCTGGAGCTTCTGCTGGCGAGCGTTAAGCATGTCGTCCAGACGCTCAGCCTGGGCAACGGTACGAGGGAAACCATCCAGGATGAATCTAAAAAGAGGCGCGCGCCGTCAGCCAACTAAGCAGAATCGCATAGAGTTTTAGGTTACCAACCCGTTCTTGCACTCGGAGTTGTTGTCAAGCTCGCTCTGGATCATGTTGACCATGATCTCATCGCTGACCAGACCACCCTGATCCATGATCTTCTTAGCCTCCTTGCCCAATGCGGTCTTCTTGGCGACCTGGGAGCGCAGCATGTCACCGGTGGCCTGCACAAGTGAAAGTTGACATTAGCATCGGGCTCAAAAGCATTTTTATAACATCCCAATGATTAACTTACCAAGTGGCAGACACAGTACTTCTCCTTCAGCCGGGGAGCCTGGGTACCCTTGCCTAGTTTGGAGAATCGGTCAGAATTCCGCAGGACGGAAAAGCAGGGAACGAGAGGATGCAAAGAGAGTCCAAGGATTGTCAATGGAGAACATACCGGCACCAGGAGGTCCCATAAGGATGATGCGCATCTGCTCAGCAACCGACTTGGGCTTGACCTGGTTGCTGAGGCGGCCCTCCAACTCCTCAACACGAGCCTCCAGCTTTCCGATAGTGTCCTTCAGGCCGTTGACGACCTCATCCGTAATGGGAGCCATTGTGATGTGAAAAGAGGAGAGGAAAAAGAGAACGCTTCAAACAAGTATCCGGGAAGGGAACAGGAGGGGAAGGAGGAGGGAAGAGAGGAGAGAGAAGTGGCAGGAATGAGGAAGAGATATCAACCAGACCGGGGAAAGGGAAGGGAACGGAGAAAGTGCATGTTGGGGGAGAAAAGAGGCCGACCGGAGGGAGTGGAGTCTCCCACCCGAGGTTCCTGCGCCCTGGGAAATTCGCCTCGACCGGCACCCTAGTCTTCGGGGTTCTGATCGGAGGTGTTTAGTAGATCCTCAATTGCCTTCAGAGGCGTCCATTGACCCGGAAGCAATCTCTCATCTCCAACATGACGTCCTTTCTTCGAGCCAATCTCCACTGGTTTGAGCCTTGAAGAGTCCAACTCGGGACTAGTCCCGGAACACGTGTCCCGTATTGTATGCCTGAGGCCAAAAGGCACCAGTAATGTAGATGTGTGGCTGATGTTCAGGTGTCGAGGTGTCAATGTCCACCATCAGCCACTCAAATGTGGCTCAAGCACGGAGCTCCAATGAATCCAGAGGCTCTCCGTTGATCCAACCAACAACAGCTTCCCTCTTCATCGTCATCGCTCCTCCTCCTCCTTCATCTCCCCATCTTCATCCCCTTGCTTATCCCGCAACAATCCCTCCCGCTCTCTTCTGACATACCCTTCATCCTCCCCTCTCAGTCCTATCTCCACCGGTGACAGCTCGTCTCGCGTTCCTTCTGTCTCCGCCATGCCTGCCACCACGGCGGACGCCCTCTCCCTCGTTCAGCGCACCGTCACGGTCGCTCCTCTAGTCCTTCTCTCCGTCGCAGATCACTACGGCCGCTCGGCCAAGGGTACCCGGAAACGTGTGGTTGGTGTGCTGCTAGGTGAGAACTCGGGTCAGAATGTCCGGGTATCGAACAGCTTTGCGGGTGCGTCATTGACCTTCTATCACCTTCGGTATCTCTTTCAGTGTCCACATGCTGACAGTTCCTCTCCCAGTGCCCTTCGAGGAAGATGAGAAGGATCCCTCTGTTTGGTTCCTAGATCACAACTTTGTCGAGTCGATGAGGGACATGTTCAAGAAGATCAATGCTCGTGAGAAGCTGGTTGGGTGGTATCACTCGGGCCCGAAGCTGCGGGCCTCGGATTTGGAAATCAACGAACTCTTCAAGCGCTACACACCGAACCCTCTGCTGGTGATTGTGGATGTCCAACCGAAGGAGGTTGGCGTTCCTACGGATGCTTACTTTGCCGTGGATGAGATCAAGGATGTGAGTAGCAATGCGCGCCATCGTGACGGGCCTCGTCTGTGGACTTTTGAACTAATCATCACAATCCCTGTGATAGGATGGCACCACAACATCAAAGACCTTCGTCCACACCCCGTCTATAATCGAAGCCGAGGAAGCAGAGGAAATTGGAGTGGAGCACCTCCTCCGGGATATCAGGGATGTCGCTGTCGGAACCCTCTCTACCCGCATAACGTCGCAGCTTCAGTCGCTGCAGGGCCTGCACCTGCGTTTGCGCGACATCGGCCAATACCTGCAGAAGGTTCTTGACCACGAACTCCCCGTCAACCACGCCATTCTGGGCAACCTCCAGGACGTCTTCAACCTCCTCCCCAACCTTACCACACCAGCCGCCACGCCGCGCATCAGTGGCGCCCCCGAACAGCCGTCGGAGAACAGCGAACTCGCACGGGCCATGAGCATCAAGACCAACGATCAATTAATGGCGATCTACTTGAGTAGCTTGATCCGCGCCATCACCGCATTCCACGACTTGATCGAGAACAAGATCCAGAACCGGCAGCAACAAGAAGAGAATGAGCTGAAGAGGGAGCAAGAGGCCAACGCGGCCAAGACTGAGAAGGAGGCCGCGAAGAAGGCCAACAGCACCGCCAATGGAGAGCAGAAGGAGGGTCAAGACAAGGAGAAGACCAAGAAGAGCCAGAAGGAGTAGACGGGTCAGGGACTCTATGCGATACGATCATCTAGAACAATGCAGTCCATCGAATGTATATTACGGTAATCTCTACGCGGCTGATTGCGACCTCGGGGGCATCTGCTTGTTATAGGCCAGCAACGATGCTGCTATATCTGTATTGGTAGGATATATCCTCGGAGCAGCACTTGCGTGAGGTATTGTCGAGGATGAACTTATGGAACTGCAAGCTCCCAAAGCTTTCATAGTGGACTCCACATTTTGGAGCCGTTCACAGGCGGCACAGTAATAGTAGTCTTATTAGACCGGCACGTATCCAACAGACGATCATCCCACTGCCCTGCGCACGTCATGCCATAGTGTTGCTGGGTCATCTTCCACGTAATGGCTCCCAGCCATCATGACTCAGGTCTCAATAACATCGAAACCCCTCCACCACGATCCTCAATAGTACATAATCAATGAGACAATGAGTAGTGTTCCACTCCTCAGTAAACAGAGACAAAGCATACCATGCATGTACTCCACCCAGAACAAGGGCAAAGAACAAACACCCAAGAATAGCTTTAAATTCCTTCACCGACTCGAAACATACAACGAACAAAGAAAGTCTAGAGCCTTCATCATCCACCCCACCCAGCACACCAGCCCGCCAATTCCTCCGCACTGACAATGGAAACAGGCCCCCCTTCTCCGCTCCCAAAGAGATCCGGACACCGCACGGCCAGGCAACAGGCCAAAAGGTGCTTGCACACGGGAGGAGAGGAGCGAGTGGAGTTCCTGGTTAACGAACCCCCGAACGGATAGTGGTTGTCCTTTGTTAAGGACGGGCCATCGTGATCAGTGGTGGAGGATGAATCCTCTTCGGATTCATCGGGTTCTGAGTCTCGAAATGCATTCAGGGTAAAAGTAGGACACGTGCAGTTCCAGGTCTTTAGGCGGACTTCGTAGCCTTTTGGGTCTGGTTCTTTGGTGTGAAATGATGAGGTTGGATTAGAGGTTGAGAATGGGTCGCTTTGGTCGGGGGAAATGGTAGATGCTGAGCGGACATAAAAATAATCAGGTATGTCTTTGGTGGTAGCATTTGTTGTTGAGGAATGATGGTGGGTTGTAGGATGAGATGTTTGACTGCTGGTGTTGGTGTCGTTGCATATGAACCGGTTCACTAGATTCCTATCCAGAATATCCAGAGCGAGGAGAAGCTCGTTTGGAAAGATGCAGTGGAGTGTTAACATTGTTGCCTTGACTTCTGCCATATGGGATGGAGGGAGAGTAGAGAAGGGTGTGCGGTGGTGTCGGGCTGGTGGTTGATGCCGGTGGTCATGAATACTGTCTACGGGCGGGACGGTGAAGGTGGAGAGGTGGGAGATCAATTGATCGATAAATTGGGCAGATGAAGTAATTGTTTGGGAGGGGAGTTGATGGTCTGACTGGTTTTGAGACGCCATTGGGGAAAGTGTAGCTGGAGATGAAAAGTGTAAGATAGTAGAAAAGGGCGCGGGAAGGTTACAACCCGATCGATCCTGGAACTGCGCTGTCCTCGATAAAAGGTCTCATGTCACTAGTATCTCACAAGTATGATGTATCAACAGAATATGAAAATTTAAATGGTTATAATCAATGAAAAGTCCAGCGTAAGCATTGTTGAATCCGTCTAGTATCGAATTGATCCGAACGCGACAGGACGCTAAGCTGAAGTACTATGGAAGCATTGCATTGAGGTATCCGCACACTAGAAAGAATGTATAATCGAACAACACAACTACCATCTCAATCTCCACACGACTTCCAGCAGATTCAAGTCCAACCTATGAAGCGTCTTTCTCAAGAGAAGCCCCTCTAAGCGGATCGAGACCGCTTCTGGCTACCGGCTTTTGTAATTCTCCCAGAGATAACCCTATCTTGCGCACTTCCCGAAAGTCTTGCTGACTCGCTGTCTTCCCTGCAGACACTGCATCGTGTTTGTGTTGCAATGTCTCGTACAGGTGTGTCCGGCCGTGTTCCAGCGTCATATGGCTCGGGTAATATATCTGGCTTGAGGGGAATGATAGCTCGCCCTGTGAGGACCTCTCTCGTCTTTCGGCAGACAAGTCGAAGCCTGACCTCGGCATGTTGAACCTTTTTCCCCGGTTTCAGCCAGACAAGGGGCCCATCTCCCTCAGGTATGACCAGCTGGTCATCGACTGTCCATTTCAATCTTCGTCCCTTTAGGTGAATGGATTGTTCCAGGCATACAGCATTATGAGGCGCGATGCTCATCGAACCTGGGCCAGGTTCTGGGGAAGAGCCCCTTGGAGAGCCTGCATCGGGGCCGCCATGGCATCCAAGGTTGCTGGGCGGTTCATCGCTGTCAGTTGCTTGCATGGCCGAAGCCTGATCTTCCTCCCAGTCCCCTGATCCAAGATCTAATGGCCTCTCGAGAGGTACACGGTGGTAGACCGCCCAACAGACGCGATCATGGTAGGGAGGCTTGAATCTTTTGTGGTTATCCATACCAAAATCCAGACAATTTTCTAGCGATCCATAAGTATTGGTTTCCATGTCGTTTTGATGTGCCCACTTATTATCTGGTCCCATGACAGCACAGGTGTAATGGCCCATCTGAATGTCCGTCTCATGTGGCTCATGGAATACTATCCCGAAAAGCTCATAACGAGCGCAGCCTTCGATTTTCACTGTATCACTCAATAAACCAGGTGGGAGTTCTATGTCTTTTTGAAGCCAGACTGGAACCCTGATTCTCCTGGGCTCATTCGTGATTTTGTCGTATTTCATCCTGGGAAATTGAACAAGAAGAACTTCAGGAAGGTATAAAGCCTTCTCAGACATAATATGGTCTGTCTCTTGCCTGCACTTGCCACACTTTTCCTTCGAATGCTCTGGCTTGTCTAGCAGTCCTTCCTCGATGTTTGTGTACCCAGGCATATTTTCATCCTCAGGAGCATACACCATGAAGAATTTTTCATCAGGCCGAGACTTTGATTTCTCACATTTGCAGCACTTGTCGTTCCTGCTCAGTCGAATCTTGAAAATATCATTCAATTCGCGGCGGCTATAAGCAAGTTAGCACCGGGCGTGTGGCGTGCGTATGAAGAAAGAACCTTACCCCTGTTTATCTACCTCTGCAAGTAGCTGCTGGAATATGCTTTCCATGAAATCACGCGCATCCTGCTGCCCTTCGGTAAAACCTTTCCAGGAGGTCTTTGCAAGTATTCTCCACAACGGTTTCAGGCATCTCTGCAATCTCTGTGTTCCATCATCTTCCTCGACCCAATAGAGATAATAAAGACGATAAAGACAACAAGTCAAGCATTTCTGCAGATTTGGAGTACACGCTTCGTGGGTTTTGCGATATCTTATAAGCCATTTCAGAAAGATAGGCGTACTCATAAGTACAACAAGCACCACGTTCCGGTAGCATAAAGTACCTGGATTTTTGAATCCCCTGACTTTCTCCCGACTGAATCCCAGAGGGGCCCAGCCAGAGGTAATAAGGTCATCCTGCCAGACAATTAGTCAAGTAATCTTTGGCTAGCTCGGCCATCCATGAGTACATACCGATTCTGGTGACTGTGACAGCCGTCGATGTGGTAGTTCCGGTTCCGGTTTTGGTTCGCTCATATCTTGGACTATCAATATCTTTCGTTCCTTGTCCAGCGAATAGTAAATATAAAGACGGCTGTATGAGTGTATAGCTCGAGAATAGACGAACTTAGCAGGATGGAGAGACGTTCTGTATCATGATCAAGGGGTATGCCCGCAAAGGAGAGTGCTGCTCGCTTTATGTCTGAAAACCACATGGCGACAAGGTGGGAATGGAAGAGAATGCCTTATCTCGTTTGCACTTGGTGCAGGGATCTTTTCACCTCCCTGATCTCTTTGAAGTGCTTAAATCGAGACAACCTGACGCGCCATTTAATGAAAGGTGCCGTGTGATCATTGGTTTCCAATGACAACATTGCTATTGACTCAAAAGTAAACAGAGATTCAGAAAATATGAATTATATATAGGCCTTGTTCGATAATGGTATCCAGACACTGTAGCCCTTGTGAAGACGGGGAAACAAAGGACCATACGGCCTTGCAGCAGTCATTGTCGACCACCTCTATAATGGCCAGGTCTCCCAGAATAGAAAATTAGGATGCCTAAACAAAGAAAAAATAAAGGTGCCTATTATGGCTGTTCTTCTGGAGTCCATCAGTGTTCCGCATCCTGTTTGTCCGAACTAGTGGGTGGTATAGTCCAAAGCGATGTAGGCCCGAGGACTTGGGGAACGTTGTACCCATGCATAAGGATTTGAGCAGAAAGAAGCCCCAACATATCTATCAAGAGCTCAATTGAAGTTTCCGGGTCCTTGATTTCCTATTCAGTACTGCGTAGTAGACAATAGAGTCACATGATTAAACCAGATGTCACATGTTAATATCACTCTGCGACTCTTGCTTCCTTCATCACCACACATCCTATGCCCATGTGACGTGTTCAGCTATTATAGGACATCGGATACTGTTTTCCTTATTCTACCAGCAGCTGCTCACTCAAAAGTTGTACGGAGCGATCCAGTGCAGGGGCTGGGTCCCGATTACGGAGTACTTGCATCCTAGTATCCTGTATGGCCTTTGCAATGACGTCCTGAGAGACTCCCGACGGCCGAGATCGAGTGGGGTTCAACCCAAGTTCTGGCCGGCTGCCAGACCACCCGCGCGGAAATGAGAATTCCAGACTTGACCAGTCAGGTACACCCTGGCCCGGTCCGGCAGACATATCCATAGTACCCAGCCATGGTACTTGCGACAAGGACTACAGGTTTCCGGCCAGTCCAGCCTGGGTAGATTACCCTTAGTGGTTCTACGGAGGTAGCGAACGATGACGGGGCTGGCGCTCTCAACGACAATTGAGATGGACGTGAGCTCCAAGAGTTGTCTCGAACACGGGAAGTTTCGAACAGAATTATTGCAGCGGGATACGGCACCTGGCCGTTCAACGGTTGTGTCAATGTCAATGGTTCAATAGATAGGCCATGATGACGGGTATCCGTTGGAATCAGTTCACCACTGGTTGTTGTTAGGAGAGGCGCCCAGCTATGATGGTCAAACCGTCCATGTCACACGAGCCCGTTGCCAGTGTGCTTCTGCTGTGTCCGTTTGGTCCTTCATGTGTGTTTTGGGAGGATCCGATTCGATCCGCTTTCCTGCTCATGTATGTCAATAAACCGGCAGGGATGAAGGGTTATCTGAAACACTTAACATGACCATTGTATAGTACAAGTTAAGTTACTATTCGCTCCCTCATCAGCCGCTTTCCCTCCGTCATCCTCTCCCCCTCCAGTCCAAAGTGATACGTTCAATCTACCACCAAACCAACCCATAGCCGAACACAACCAGGATGGAGAAGAGAACCTGACGCGAAACCAAAAAAAAAAAAAAAAAAAAAAATCTCCTTCGAGTCTAGACCACCCGTCCTTCACCGATGAACTGGTTCTTGCTAGTCCAGTAGTGTCCGGAAAATATGCATCACGATATTAGAATTCCCCTCCCCCCTCTTTCCCTAAAGTATACTCTCCCATTGTTCTGTCCCTCCTCGATCGCGATCCAAAAACCTTCTAATTACTAGATCATGGATACTAAAGTAGACTTAACTTTGGTCGAACAGACAATAAGACTCCTCTCTCAACCAAGATACCCACGACTAAGATAAATTAAATCATTTCTAGACGCGTGGTAATTTCCTACCTTTCCCCACAACCCGGCCTCGGTTTTGGTTTCATCTGGTCATCAAGTGGAGCGGAATTAATTTACCACCCAAACAAATTGGCCTTTCCTACCGACAGCCCGGACGGACCCCTTCAAACCAAACCAAGACCAAACCAAACCACCCCTCCTCCTCTTTCTCTCTCACACTACTACGTAGTACTCCTCTCCCCTTCTTCGTTTTCTTCATCATCGTCAGCTAGATAGATACTAGACTCGAACTAGAACTAGACCAGCATCATATATTGATTACACCGGGATGAGCTTTAATTAATCTCACGCCCCAAGTCAATCTCTATCGGCTATCTCACCACAAAACTTTCCGTTGGGTCGGTCCTCTCTCTCTCTCTCTCTGTTCTAGTTTAGTCTAGTCAAGTCCTTCGACTTTCTTTCCTTCTGACCGACCACATGGTCTGATTCGGGAGAGAGAGAATGATAGACAAACATACACAGAGAAAGGTAAGAGAGCTGAGACCCAGTCCAGGAGCGTCGCAATTCCAGATAGACAGAGGGAGAATAACTATCTTTACTTCTAAACACAAAACCTTTCATTTTACGTTTTACATTCACAAAGTAAATAATATAACCACTTACTTCACACCATTCTCGCTCTCGCTCTCTGTCTCCCTCCCATGTGAAACGAATGGTTAGCGAACCTTTGACCCATCGGGCCATACTCCTCCGTAGCAATCAAAGT